TTGACCAAGCGGAAAAGTTCAGTGGTCGACACTGAAGATAAGACGTCCTCGTAGATCCAGATTCTGATGCTGAGATTCGTGCCAGCGTAACATCACTCGCCACAAAAGTTACTGAAGACAAGCTGGGTTCAAAGAGATTCGAGCATTTTTCTAATTGGAGCTCGCTCACCAAAGCTGTGGCCCGACTCTGTCACATAGCTCAATGCTTCTCTCTCCCATCAGGCAATCACGGCTGTGTTGGCTGGCACATGTGCAAGAAAGGGTTGTCAGTTGCTGACATCACCAAGGCAGAGGATGTCATCATAAAGTGTGTGCAACATGAAAGCTATTCAGAAGAGTTGAAATGCATTAAGTCAAACTGTGACCGCTCCAAAATCAGCCGTCTTCATAAACTTCGGCCAGTCATTGACAGTGAAGGCCTGCTGAGAATAGGTGGACGCATCGATCTGGCACAACTAGAAAAGTGTGAAGCCAATCCTATCATTGTCCCAAGCCATAACCACATAGGAACTCTGCTCGTCCGCCACCATCATGAATGTGTGAAACACCAGGGCAGACACTTCACTGAAGGTGCAGTCCGTGCCAGTGGTCTGTGGATAGTAGGAGGAAAACGTCTCATCAGCAGCTGCATTCACATGTGTGTCACATGCAAAAAGCTTGGAGGAAGAATGGAGCAACAACAAATGTCTGATCTACCTGCTGAACGTCTACAAGTAGACCCCCCATTTTCCTATGTGGGACTTGACAATTTTGGGCCATGGGAAGTCATCACACGTCGTACCAGGGCTGGCCAGGCCAGGGACAAAAGGTGGGCAGTTTTGTTTACATGCATGTCCACACGTGGCATTCATATCGAGGTAATCGAAACAATGACCTCCTCAAGCTTCATAAACGCCCTCAGGAGATTTTTCTCTGTCAGAGGCTATGCGAAACAGCTTCGATCAGACTGTGGGACAAATTTTGTTGGAGCATTTAAAGAGCTGAAAATGGATTCACAATGTAATCGCGATTCAAGCATAGAAGACTACCTCCTTCAACAAAAGTGCACCTGGGTTTTCAACCCTCCACACTCCTCTCATATGGGTGGCGCTTGGGAGCGCATGATTGGAGTCTCAAGGCGAATTCTAGATTGCATGCTCCTCCAAGTTTGACCTTTAAAACTCACCCATGAAGCGCTAATCACCTTTATGGCAGAGGTCAGTGCCATTGTGAATGCCAGGCCGTTAACACCGGTATCCACTGACCCAGAGGCTCCCCTCATTCTAACCCCTTCCATGTTGCTGACACAGAAAACAGGCGCATCTCCTTGTCCAGCTAGTGAGTTTTCGAAAGGAGATTTGCTCAAGAACCAGTGGAAAAGGGTTCAAGCCTTGGCAGAGACATTTTGGGCTAGGTGGCGACAAGAATATTTGAGCACGCTACAGCATCATCAGAAGTGGCAAGCACAGAAACCCAATCTTAAAGGAGACATAGTTCTGATGAAGGACAGTCAGACAAAAAGAAATCAGTGGCCAATGGGAGTTGTCGTGAATGCTATTCCCAGTAAAGATGGACTAGCAAGAAAGATGGAAGTCAAAGTGACAAGAAATCAGACGCTCAAGATATTCTGCAGACCCATTTCTGAAGTGGTCCTGCTTTTCTCCCAGAAAGACAATCATGGGAATGACGTGTCACACAATCCACAGCTTGCTGAGGGCAAAGCCATAGGTGGGATGAGTCGCTGAGTGACAGCCCGGTCAACTCACTGTAAGGCCGCAGTCCTACATTTAGTACAGTAGCAGTTCTCCTGTACAGACTTGGATGAGAAAGGACGGTGGGTTAATATGTACATAGTGGCATATTTCTTAATATGCCAGACGGGGAGTGTATTGCATTCAATGTATTGGTTATTTTATATGTCCTTTAGCAATACCTAGTGGCAATTGTGAATAGCTGCACTGAACAGGAAGTGAGCGAAGTGTAAATAGTCAAAATAACAGGAAGTGACGTTCAAGGAGTGCCATGTGCCTATGGACTCATTAAGTGACCATCTCAGCATTCAATCCATATAATCCTGTGCATTGAAGTCCACAAAATCGGCTTCATCCCTAAGTGTGCTACTATTTACAGTTATACTAACATGTTTATATCCATATTTCTTTGGTTTGTGTTAGTAGTATTTATACTGATGTATACTAGATATTATTAAGTACTTACACAGGCACTTACTTTTTGTATTGTTTGTGCTCTTTTTCAGTTTTACAAAAATATTACATATTTTCCACCATTACACCTTGCAAATACAACAACCTGTCTGTTCCTTGGAAGATACGGTGCTGGCTGTATAGCTGACAACTTTTAGTGAGGACAGCACGCTTCCTTACACAAACAGAGCAGAGCATGCACAGTGTTTGCACAACCGACGCTACGTTGCTAGTGTGTTATTGTACTCACCTGTCGGAAGGGCATGCGCTAGCGCACCAGCCATTCCTGCTCAATCTGCTGCAGGTTCAACGTCTTCCTCTCGTTCATTCCCCTCTCTTTATAAATCCATACATTCTCATTGTATAATACGGCCTCTCTGTCCCACTGCGGTCCTCAAAGCTTTCAAACATTTCGAGCTGAACGAGGCTGGAGGCTGCGCCGCGAGCATGTTAGCAGCGAGCATGTTCGCCAGACCCCAGCCTGCACCTGTGTTTGATTTGGGTCACTTACCAGTTAATTGGGGCAGTATTAAAAAAAACTAAACAAAAAAAAAACAGCATTATACTTCCTCATGTAATGTGACCTTGGAATAACCAAAATCACATGACATATTTCCACAACTGCATTTTGTTGCTGAACCCTTTGTTGTACAATAACAATAACTTACCCAAACCTGAAACTTGAATTACTAAAATAGTTGATATATAAAAGATATACAAATATGTGTGATGAATTAGTGGACCAAAATAAACATATCTTGTTATTATATAGAACAACACATAAGTGTTAGATTCTATTTTTGTTATACTTATTTGTAATGGTCAAATTCCACGTTTAGACTTGTGATAAAACAGGACTAACGGCTATCATCTACATTTGGGATTGCTTACATCACACTAGAATTAACACGTAGCTTGGTGGTGAAGTTGCTAATACTTACTCATAATTACAATACTTAATTTTTAGGGAAACTATATTAAATCAACATTAAACGTTCCAACCGGTGATTTAAAAAAGGAAAAAACCTTGCAGGCCGTCCTGTGAATGGCTCATGGCAAATGTCACAGAATATTCTCTCTGTATTCTCTGTAAAATGGGCTTATGGGAGAAGAGGTCTACAGTGAGCAGTTGAGGCTGGTTCGGCCTCCACTTGAGTGGGCAGGGATCTTGGGAGGTCAGGTGGAAAACAGCCGGGGAGTCGGGCTCACATCTCCTGGGGCCGGTGTCATGTGAGCTCGGTGCAGGGTTACCCGCTGAGAGAGGGGCCCAAGTCAGACCCGCCGTGGGATTTCACAGTGTGATGCCCAGGATGTCCCAGGGCCTGGAAGAGATATAAGTAACTCAGTGACAGATAATTGATATCTAGTGAGAGATGAGGTCGCCACCTTCTGGAGGAAACACAGAGTGCATCCAGTTTTGCCTAAATTGAACAAGGTTGGTGCATGTTGTAATACTTTAATAATGTTGTGGCAAAATGACGAGAAGAGACGACGAATTGAATTTGCAACCCAGCGGGAAGTGTTTTAACGCATACACACCAACATACAACGAGTTCAGCAAATCCAACAAAATCCGACGTATTACTTTTCACAGATCACTTTTATAGTCAAACTTTACCCCCCCTTACATCACTTTCCACCGATCAAACAAGTGGGTTGAACCACAAACAGAGCATATCTGATTTCTTCACTGTGTCATGCTGACCTGATTTCGTTTTTCGTTTTGGCAGAACACACGATTCGTTTACGGGAAATGTTTGGATACAAATAGGGGTGATCGATTACAATTTGTCTGGTGCTTTAATCTCTTCCTAAGAATGTTTTTACTTGTGTACCCAAATGTGTTCAGTTCAATCCTAAATTATATGATGATTTTCTTCAACAATAACTTCCTGTATGTTTAAGTAAATCAGCGTTAATCTTGACTCTGTGTGTATGCTATAGTAACATATGTTGTTTTATGTCTTTGCACACAGCTCTCACGTTGGTTTGGAATTTTGCAATACATTTAAAATCATGTATTGCCTTTAACAGCAGCAACAAACATCCCCCATCTTGGCACCTGTCAGCTTCTTAACCTCTCAACAAAACAAAGACATGTGATCCATCATATGATCCTGTTATGCTGAATCGGTGTGCCATAACATCCCATAATCCTGCATTATCGTCTATATCTGCTTTTGGCTCTGAATGCATCAATATGACGTCTCCTCACAATATGACTGCAGATGAAATTGGTCACACTTCATAACTCTCCAAAGGAACCTATTGGTAGTGGGTGTGAAGGAATTTTAACAAGCAGAGTTATAGCACTGACGAAGTGAAACTGACATCCATGCAGTGGCCAGTCGAGTGGAAATAGGGACAAAAAACAAGCCTCAGTGATTCTCTCTGCTGAGCTGAAATATCGCACAAATATTTTAGGTTTAGCCGAAGCCATGTGTGCGTGAAAGCTGGGAAAAAGCATGACTCAAATAAAGGAATACAAAGCAATATCATGTTGTGAAACGGAGCTTTGGATGGGACAAGATGAAAATGTGTGTTGTTATTGAAAGCGGCCCCCTACAGTCTGTGCAGCTGCCCCTACATCACCATATCCCCCCCCCCCTCCTGTCAAGCTGTACACACACACACACACACACACACACGCAAGAGCACAAACCCAGAGTGCAACACAGGAACGTGTCGAGTCTTTAAACTGCAGTAATTACTGAGTGAAGTTTGGAAGAGTGCTGGCTTTGTTCCCTGCTCAGGCTGGGTGGGTGGGGGTGGGGGGGGTAAAGGGGGCGAGGGGAGGAGAAAACCATTCAGCATAAGTTAGGGGGAGAGGGGGCCATGTTGTTGAGGCCAGTGTTGTCTATTCCTACCAAAGCCTCATGCAAATTCTTTAACTGCTGCAAATGTGTGTCCAGAAGTGTTAACAGGAGGCACGGAGAGGACTGTTGATTGGTGTTTTCTGAAAAAGCATCAAGGGGAGAAGTGGAAAGGATTCAGACACACAAAAAGAGGTGAGAACTTAAACAATGTAGGTGTAAACTTCATATCAGCAGAATTAAGGAAACTGAGTGTGTTCAGTTGAAGTTATCCAAATGGACGGGAAAGAGGATGGCAAGAAGGAGAAGAAGGAAGATGAGGTGGTGCAACTTCGGAGGGAGATCGGCCTGCTGCCTGCCGTGTGCTTCATCATCGGCTCGGTGGTGGGCAGCGGGATCTTCATCGCACCCAAGGGAGTCCTGTTGAACAGCGGCAGCGTGGGGCTCTCCCTGCTGGTGTGGGCGCTGTGTGGGGTCCTCTCGATGCTCGGTAAGATAGAGGCCTGATGCTGTCTGTTAGAACTAAACCTTGCAAGTGTTCATTTCTATGTGTTGATAGAACTGAATTTTACTTTTATTCAACATGTGTTTGGTGCAGACATGGGATGGAATATTTAAGAAAACGCAATGCAAAATAATTCACATTTTTTTTAATCATTCAAACATGCATTAATTTCTTTATTCTTTTTGATAATAAACTAAGATTAAATGACAAGTTTTGTGGTTATTTTTACTTTTCAAATTCAAGCAATTTGTTTTCCATATGTCAGTCAATGCATTTTTCCATGCACCGAATTATTATTGTAATAATTAATCACTGAATGTGTTTATTTATCTATTTAATTTCGCTGCAAGTTATTCACACAACAGGGGACTAGCAAAACTTGAATTACATGTCAAATGTTTTTCTCTGGTCTGCCCTCTGCTCCGTTAGGGGCCCTGTGCTACGCTGAACTGGGCACCAGTTTTACAAAATCAGGGGGCCACTACACGTATCTACTGGAGACACTGGGGCCACTGCCTGCCTTTTTACGACTCTGGTCTGAGTGCTTCTTAATCAGGTTTGGAATTAGGTGGATTAGTTTAGCCCTGTTTGTCTTGACTGAAAGTTAAATCAGATCACATAACAAGCATGTTTCCATGTCCAGGCCAGCTGTGGCTTCCTATGTGTCCCTGGCTTTTGGCCGCTATGTGGTGGAGCCGTTCTTTGCACCATGTGATGCTCCCATAGTGCTCATCAAACTGGTCAGCATCCTGGGATTGAGTGAGTGGTTTTATACAATACCAATCATACCACTCTATAAGTCCACGTAGTGCCAAATACAGATTCAGAAACCGTTCTCTCACCAGCTGTTTGTCTTTGTGTCTCTGTAGCGTTAGTCGTGGCAATCAACTGCTGGAGTGTGACCATGGCCTCCCGCACTCAGATCACCTTGACTTTCATAAAGATGTTCGCTCTGGTCCTCATCATCATCCCTGGAGGCATCGCACTGGCCAAAGGTGGGAGGATGTCATCGTTTATCCTGGGGATACAGATGTATTTTCCAGCTGTTAAGGTCTTGTCAAATGGTTACTATTTGATGATGATGCTCTGTTACTCTCTTTCTCTGCATCTTCTTTTTTCCAGGAAAAACAGAGAGTTTCCAGAATGGTTTTGAGGTTGACTCATTTAAACTGGATACGTTGCCACTGGCCTTCTATAACGGCCTCTATGCCTACAGTGGATGGTAAGCGACCATTCATTGCAGTATGAAAACTGGCTTGAATTCCAAACATTGTCTTCTTTTACTATACATGGAACCTTTTTTTAAAAATGCTTGTGTGGACGTACTTTTTCTTTTTTCCTTTTAGGTTTGCTCTGAACTTTATCACAGAAGAGGTGATAAACCCAAATAGGTATTTTACATCTGACATCCTCACTCCCCTCAAATCTATTTCTAAAAGCCTTGTTGCCTTAAATACTATCACATCTCTCTGCGTGTATCCCGTCTTGACAGAAACATCCCGCTGGCAATAATCTGCTCCATGGTGACAGTGACAGTCTGTTACGTGCTTGTTAATGTGGCCTACTTCACCATGATGACTCCCGCTGAGCTGCTGCTGTCTGAGGCTGTGGCTGTGGTCAGTGCTGTGCTGTAGAACACGCATCCATTTAAAAAAGGAATGTGTATGTATGTGTTTGACGGCCGTTCTCCTCCTCTGTCTCTGCAGACGTTTGCGAACCGTGCTCTCCAGGGATTGGCTTCTGTGATCCCCTTCCTCGTGGCGATGTCTTGCCTTGGGGCGCTTAACGGCGGCATCTTTGGGTCACCCAGGTGATCTGTGCACAGATGTGTTATTATTGTTTTATACTCTAGCGTGTGCTTTAAATCAGGCAAGAGGTGACAGCTTACAGCGTGAGTGGAAGTCTTACTGTTTGTGTTGCAGGATGGTGTTTGTGGCAGCCAGAGACGGCCACTGGCCCCCAATCTTTTCCATGATTCACATCCGCAGACGCACACCTTTGCCTGCTGTGGTATTCCTGGTAAAATACTTTCCAAACAATAAAAACAAAGCTAGTGTGCAATATTTGATCTAATATCAGTGTCACCACATAAACAGACAACAACAACTCTCACAAAAAACTCACTTTTTCAGTCTGTAGTGCCTACAAACACTACAAACTGTGAAATACAATAACCCAGTCTATTTTCTATGGGCTGCCTAGATTAGAAAGCATGTGTTTCGACCACAGACTGTATATCAGAAGTGGACGTTGTCATCTTGACGCCACCCAATGGTTTGTGGACTGCCCTTTTGAAGCCTCGAGTTCGACGATTTGGCCGTAGCCATCTTGGCTTTTTGCAACCAATGAACGGAAGTTACCATATTTGAATGCGGAGGAGTGACGTAAAGACGCTGCTCTGATAGGGGCGGCGACCTGTCAATCACAGGAAGCCACTTAAAGCATCCCCTGCTTTATGGTCTGTTTGACTCTAAATGGACCATAATGTACTAAATGAACATCATGCTGTATTGAAGAAGACTTGAAACTAGAGATTGAGACCATAAACTCATGTTTACAATGTTTACTGAGGTAATAAATCAAGAGAGAAGTAGAGTCATTTTCTCATAGACTTCCATACAATCTGACTTATTCTTACACTCAGAGGATTCTCCCTCTGATGGCCACTAAAGAGAGTTTCGCATTAGCTTCACTTGTCAGAACCGGAGGCTGGCGCCTGGTTCGCACCCCCCACCTGAGTATCTCCATCCATGACTTGAGTACTACCTTTGCAAAGGTGCACCATAATTATCAAAGTCAATCAGAGCAGACCTAGGGAGGAAGGCTTAAAGAGACAGAGGGTGAATACTAGTATATTCAGACAAACAATATGAGAAATACAATGTGTTTATTGAACAATAAAGCATGTAAACATGTTCTAGTAGAAACCCAAAATGAGCATGATATGTCCCCTTTAACTTTCACTGACTAATTATTTTCAAGGCTTTCAACTGTATCTCACTGTCTTCACCAGCAGATGGAGCTTACTTGTTACATTTTATTTGTCAATCTACTGTCGCCAAGGTCAAAAATGAACATACGTGAATGTATATTTGTTATTTGAATCAAAAAATATGTAATAATGAAATTAATTGTGTTTGTGTGTATGCATTATCTGTCTTTATTTATAAGAGAATTGCCAAAAACTGTCCAATTTAAACACAGTAGACTTCACAACTTTTTTTTGTTAGAAATGATAATTTACATATATTTCTGCTTGTTTATCGGTAAGATATCTTACACTTGGTTCGAGATGGGAACCCACTCTTCATTCTCATTCCTAGTGGTACCCACATGTAACATAGCAAGTTATGAATTGCACAAATATGCTTTACCCTCCACTACATCCCTATATGTAACAGTCACAACAGACTGAGTATGGATGTGTCATTATACCTGCATTGTCTGTCTCCAGTACCCCTTGATGGTGGTGGTGTTAATCACTGGAGAGATCTACCAGCTCATCAACTTTGTCTCCTTTTCTCGCTGGCTCTTCATCGCTATGGCAACCTCGGGGATGCTCCTCCATCGACATCGCTTCCCCAACCACCCACGGCCTTTCAAGGTTAGTGAGTCAAACTGTATAGCATTCTCTATTATTCTGTTAACTACGTTTTATTTGCTCTTTTTCATGACCCAAAGGTGCCGCTGGCCATCGTGGTTACCTTCACCGTGGTTTGCTTCTTCATCGTGGGTCTGTCTCTGTACTCGGACCCCTGGAACACCGGGATGAGCAGTGCTCTCACACTGACCGGGATCCCAGTTTACTATGTGACCATCTACCGCTATCGCGTACCACATAGATTGAGACGCATCTTTGGTAAGCCGTGCCAAAATCTGCAAACTTATTGATTTTATATATCCATTTAGTTGGGAAAAGATGTAGTTATACATCTTCAACATGTGTAGAGCAGAAGGTGAAAAGAGCCAATGGCATCATTTTGTGCATCATTGTGGAACAAAGCTTTTCCTAAGGAATGTAATGTGTGTATATACAGTAGGTTACTGTTGGGCAGTTTGTTTGTAACACAGAGATGTAAATTACAGCCTGTTCTTCCCAAAACATTTAGCCCTTTTAGCTTACTAAACCCCACTCTAACTCGAAGAACGAAAAGCCTTTCCAACTCTTCCATAACTCGGATTCTCTTCAATATTCCCAGACTACTTCAGCAAGCACCTGCAGATCCTTCTAGAAGTGACTCAACAGGAAGTCCAGACGTACTGAAGAGCTCTTTCTACTGGATGCCACCTTAACCAGTCCAAGCATCTTTTTTTGTTTCGATTTTAAGCATCCATTTGAATATTGTAATCATTTTAAGATTTTTTTAAAGAACACTACTACAAAACAATGCTGGAAACAGGTTGTGTATCTGACTTCTCTTGTAGAATTTTACTAGCACTTTTGTGCATTGGACTTTATGTTACGCTTATGTTGGACACTACTGGAGTACGAGGTGCTCACTATCATTCTCCATGAACATCTAAATTTCTGCCTACAAAGTTTTGTAAGACCAATAAAGTCATTCTTGAATCACAAAGACAATCTATAAATGGTTTCAACCTTTATTGAAATATAAATAACAAATAGGCAACCTTGCTATGTCTTCTATCAGATGCAATACACCGTACTGGGGTTTCAACATCACTGTACTGCGGTTTGTGTGAGGTTGTCAAAAACTCTTTATTTACATTTTTGAAATGTGAAAAGAGCGAGGCAAACCTCCATGCTCTCTGAGGCACCGACACCAGCACGTATCACACAGTCTTAAAAAAACACCAACTTTAGGAAACAGAACAAGGCACACGCTTTGAAAACTGTTTGCTCAAAACCCCAACATCTCACTCTTGAATGCCATGTAGCACGTGAACAGATCAACTCCCATATGAACACACATGCTAACAAACCAGAAGGAATGATTTAAAGCCAGACATTATTTAGAGGCATTGACAAAAAAACGGGAATATCTCCCATTCTGCCCGCCTAAGATGGTGCTTACAGGAAAATACATTTGCATCGTTACTGAAAACTAATCAAATCTGCTAGATGGACGCGACATATTCAGTATTTTGCTCCAAAAGACTACCTTCAATTATGGTGTTGACATGAGGGGTAACTGCATGCAAAATGTCCCCGTCTGCAGGTGCACAGTGCCTACTGATGGAAAACTAGTGAAGAACCAGGATTTATAAAGTCAAGTGGGGAAGACAGTTCTAGGAGTGAAGCACAGAGACAATCCCATTGCCGTTAGTGCCATTTGTATTACTTTGCCATTGTTTATTGCTGACAATCTCGCAACCTAAAAGTCGATTCCAGGAGGCCGCCTGAACCAAACGGCACGGACGCATCTCGCTGGCAATATATTGTCTTTTCATTCACAAATGCAAAAGCTAAATTATATATTAAAATGTGCAAATCGACATACATAAGTGTACATGTACATACACAAGGATAGATTTCTCCTTCAAGAGCACAGAGAGATACAAACGGGTAGGATAAAGTATGGAAGGAAACAGGACCTGCCAGTAGCTTTACTAGTAGAAATAAGAGAACAAGACAAAAGCAGATGAAGAGCGATGGAACCGATAAAAAGCCAGAGATGGAGAGGAACGACGAGTAAGCAGCTTGCTAATTTGACCTGGAAACGAAAATCAAAGTTCCGCTGTCATTATTCCCATCTTCTCCTATAGTGTTTCTGAAAACAGATGACACATCGATGTGATTAAAATGTGTTTTGTCCACCCGGCTACTTAAACTGAGGGATGAACTCGGACCAGCTGATATTGGCCATACCCAGCTCCTCGTCATCCAGTCCGGAGAAGCTAAGGTCCACTAGTATCTTGCTCAGGCTGTCGTTCATCGTGTCCAGGACGAGGCCCTCCGTCATCGAGCGGTTGGTGGGCGTCGCGGCGCCACCTCCCGCCTGAAGCAGCTCCCTGGAGCAGCTGCTTCTGAAGCATTCGATGAGAGCATCGGATGGTCCCGTCCCTCTGGCGGGAGCCGACGTGAGCAGCTCTCTGGGGGAGCTGAACAGAGGCCAGTCTTTAAAGGGGGTGCTGTTGAAGCTGAAGGTGGTGTAGTCGAGCCGCGGCGTGACTGCGGGGCCACCGGGTGTGCGGATGGGGCTGAAGTCCAGAACGCTCTGGCTCCCTTTGCCCACGGGGGTCACTTTCCAGGGCTCGGGTAAGACGTGAGTGGGAGGCTTGCTGGGCGTGGAGGAGGTCAGGTGGCTGCTGCTTTTTATGGGCGTCTTGAAGGAGAAGTCCCGATCGGGGCTGTGCTCCTCCAGCTGGGTATCCCGCATGTCCTGGAAAGTCGAAGCATCGGAGACTACACCGGAGTCAAAGAAAGTATTATTGGGGCAGAGGAGGACGGGCTCCTCGTGCAGGGAGTGAACCAGGCGCTGTTTGCGTCGCGAGCTGCTGCCTTGTCTCTTCCGAGGGGCTTTGGGAGTCTCGCATTTAACCGGGACACATTGCGGCTCCTCCTTCACCATCACCATGAGGTCTTTGTCCTTCTGGGGATACACTACCACAGCTGGGACGTCACTTTGTGTCACCTGTCGGACATACAACAATGCACTTTACAATTCTACCAGTAACTGTCCATCATACACACCCCAACACATAACTCAGTTCATTTTAACATCTGCAATGCGTGAGGGAGCCTTTACCTTCGGAGCTATGCGCACTCTCTTGGCTCCTCGCGAAGTGATCTGCTTCTGCAGCGAGCAAGAGGGAGGAAACTGGGCCAAGGAAGACGGCAGGAAGACAGAGGATGTGAGAGGGAGCTGGATGGGAACCAAGTAGGAATCGGTTCGAGGGAGAAGAGGTTTCATCCGTCTCTCTGAAAGTACAGAAGAAGAAAAAAAACTCAGAGCAGAGCATCTTAATTTCAAATGACTGACGTTTGTGTGAATTTGTTTTCTTTATCAAAGTCCTTCCATCTTTGTTAACGTACCAGAGCTAGTTGGCATTTTTCTTGCATCAGGAAGCATCCTCTTCTTTTGCTGTGAAAAACAAAAAGACACAACATCAGTTTATACAGTGGAAGCGTACTGCCTCAGTGGCCTTACTGTGCTCTCTCATTCCTGACCACAACCTGTGTTCTCGACAATGTTTTAAGGATTTGGCAAGCAAGAACAGGCAAAAGTCAGAGTAAGACCTCTTATAACTGTCCCTACACTTTATAGAGGGATGATGGATACATTTATTTCTGAGTGTAAGCATTCGGTGTGACTTCAGCCTCCCTGCTGCTCACATCATCTCCTCCTGCAATAAAAAGAATTCCCTAGACCGTAGACCTCAAGCTGCAGCTGCACTCTTTGGATCAAAGGGTCTGATGACTAAAAACAAAAAGGAAAGTGAATGTGGACGTCTGATTTTCTGTCCCTTGTCTGCTTTCTTCTGCCTGACTGATGAAGACTGTTCCTAGAGGACTGAAAAGGGTAAAGACATCTTACTTGGTTGGGAAATAAAAGTTGTGGCACCAGAACAGGAGCAGTCATTGGGTCACAGCCGGACTGTAGAGAAAGATGTGGAGTAAGAGGGAAGACAAAAATCATAAATCATCCCCACGACACCATGGATGATAATGATGGTATCCAATACACAAAATGATGAATAAATAAAACAAAAGAAGTCAATTCAGTGTCAGGGCTTCGTCCTTTATTTTAGATAAAAAGGGTGACAGTGATACAGTCAGCTGTGCTCACCTTGTACACCTGATCAAGAGTGAGGCACCTGTTGGCCTCAGGCCGGATGGTCCAGAAAGAGAGTTTACCATCTGGCGACGACTCACGAAGGAACATGTCGTGTAGAGAGAGATTATGGCGGATAGAATTCTGCAATCACAAATGAGTAATGGAAATGGATGATGAAAGCTGCTAAATCGGAAATTCAGAGCATCAATATAACAGCAAAAACGACTTGCTGTATGATATAGCGGCGCAGAGAATGAAGTCACTCTCCCAGATCAGCTGTCACCATGCTGAGAGCCGTGTGGAGGCAATCCCTCAATCATAGATATGCTCCGAGTTCAGGACTTTTAATGCGTGTTTCAGCAAGTCACCCTAAAAGACTGTTTATTATGTGCTCACGAGTTATATTTTTCAGTTGTAAAGTACCTTCCATCCTGGTTTGGCCACCTCTCTGAAGTAAGGGAAGTGGTCCTCGATCCACATGTAAATCTCTTTCAGTGTCATCCTCCTGCTCTTCAGACTGTTGATGGCAAACTGGATCATGGCCATGTAGGAGTACGGTGGCCTCTCCGAAATGGGTTGCTGAACAGCCTCTGCGTTCTGTGCCTGTAAAAGAAATGAAGAATAAGAAAGAGGCTTCAATACATGATACGTGTAATAAACTGTAGTCAGATTGTTTTTAATTCAGGTGATCAGTATAAAACATGAACACAAGACTGAATCTTTATGTACAGAAACATCTGAAATCTGACTTCAGCCAGGTTCTCAAATGTAAAAGCTGTAATGTAAATGTAAAAACAACAAAAATTGACACCATTTGTGACTAAAAGTGAGCAACTTCCAGTTTAACTTCAAAATTTGCAAACGATGAAATGGTGAAACTGTAACTCAACTAATAACTGCAATTAAGCTTTTGCAATAACCTCAATATTCATGGTACAATGTTGCAGGTGTCCACATACACAGTAATGTTTCAGCTCTGCGCTTTACCTCAGAAATGAAAGCGTTTCAAATCTAGCAGCATGTTTTCTGTTATCCCAATACCACAGAGGTCTTTGTAAATCACAATAGAGCGAGCCAGACTGGTTACGGATGGCGTTTTAGGGGAAATGCTGAGACATGCCTGAGATCAGTGTCTCCTCCACACATGCATGTTCTCACATCAACAGTACGATTCACACCGAGGCGACAACGAGGAGCAGCTGACCTGTGAATTTGAGCTTTGGTTCTCCTTGACGGCCATCTGCTTGGCAGCATCCTGTTCGATTGTGTTCATCGTGCCCAGCCATTGAATATTGGTGAGGCTGTCATCCAAAGGACCACACTCCAATTCCTTATTCACTAATAAAGAAAAGCAAATGCCATTATTGTTTCAGCAAAGGGGAACGACTAAAGATAAAAAGATAGGCAATAAAACTCTACAATTATACTTGAAATATCATCTTATCAAAACAGCCTCATCTCCATACATGCTTTGATTCCAGTGAGTGGTTTAACGTCCAGGGAGCCGGGCACAGATTCTTCTTTCACTGGTTGTCCAACTGCAGAGACGTCATCCCCCTCAGCAGCAGGCTGACAAAAAGATCCATTGTCCCGGCTGCCACTCCCACTCAAGAGGATGAACTTGTTTGGGCCCTGGACGCCACACTCTTTGCCTTTGGCAGTGAGCGCGCCGATAATACTTTGAAGGTCTGCCGATTTGGGGATGACAACCACCTGTGTATCAGACATGGAGGGGTGATCCATAATGCGGATGCCATCCGGGAAGCACTGACTGACGGCTGATTTGGGAGGTTCTTTGAAGCCCGGTGCATCAGCTCGCCTTTGTGGTTCAGCCGCTGGAGGATCATTTTGCTGAAACGGCAACTTTCTTCTTCTGAGGATCAGGGGTCTCCTTGGGCTCCGTCTCATGGTCATCAAATGATTGAAAATGCTCCTTGGTGTTCACTGGTATTCTGCACAAAAACAACACAATGACCAATGCAAACATTTGCAACTAGCTAGATAACAAAGTTTCTTTTAAAGCCCTCTAATCTTTCATCACTGCCTTGTGTGCATCATATCATCACACTGTGCTCACTAGATTTACCTGTAATTAAGGTTTACCTGGCAGAAGGTATGAAGTCAATATCAAGTTACTAGCAAGCTAACCAACAGTTAAGAAAAGCAGGCTGGATTGAAACCGTTTCTCCGTCCCTTGATCGATTTATATTGACAAGATGAAATCATTTAACCAATATCAAATAACGTTACCAGTCTGGACACACTGAGTCACTGATGAGCCGGGTTATATGTGAATAATGGACCGTAAAATTAAATTAAAGCTCCGCGTTGTCCCCCGTGGACGTCTTTTAGCTGTGCGATTGCTCGGTTTAGCAGGTTCTTATCAGATCAGTTGCTTTTGTTCCCTGGCAACTCATCGCCTTCCAGAACAACAGTTACATGTCATGCAGGCGACGACGTGATTTGTGTAACGTTTACCGCTGGTTCTCTGGTGAACTGCTAACGGTTTATATGGATCCATATCTGACAACAATAGGCGGTGCATGAACTGAGGTCAATGTGACATCCATTTGACTGACATTAATGTCATGCACCAGAGCTCGAAATGAGGGTTAAGGAGGAAACATGTTTATTATTATTATATTATTATACATTAAAACCTGGAGAAAATGTAGCTCGGCTATTGCACTCGGCGATCTTAGCTAACATTACAACTTTCCCTTGGTTAACGTTAACATCAGCCATCTGTTTGGAAGCTAGGCTAAGTTAGCTATGTGGCTAGTCGTTAGCTCACTACACCATTGTAACGAATAGCAAAGCTAGATAAAGCCATACCTTCATATTCATGTGATGTTTCAGGCGATCCTACTCGGCTGGACTCCTGCCAGTAGTTGAAACACCTGCTTCATATTCAATGCGATATCAGAGGACCCCAAGATATCGATTATATTCTTTCATTTCCTATTATTTACATGCTGTCTGTTCGACTCAGCAACGTTTTTTGAATTTTGGCGCTGTGGGCGCCACCCCCGTCACTCTGGTCACATGGTATAAAAATACACCAATAGGAAGATAGGCGAGACCGCGCTGCAACCAATCAGAGACGTCGATGGTGGAAACCGGGAAATAATAAGTAACGAGGACGGAAAACAAAGGAAGTTCATAGTAGACAACGACGGTGGAATAACTAACGTTTTATTAATTATTTGCAATAATGGATATGTTTTGCTCGAAGTATTACATTTAGGTGAGTACAATGGCGGGTTAGTAGCGACGAGTGAAAACGTTCAAAGTTATACAACTGGCTGTTGACATCTGACCCGTAAACAGTAATCTTGTTTACGTACATTGAATCAGAAAAGTACATTGATAAAGTGATGTTTTCATTCCACCAGGTTTCCAGGGATGCTTTTTATTAATGCCCCGTAAAGCCTTAAAGACAGAGAAGCCTCCCCTGCTGTTCCTGGAGCAACCTGTGTGTGGAGCCAGACTCCGAAATGTGCCTGAAGTCCGAGCAGCACTCAACCCCAAAGAGTTTTTCTCAGAGACACCGGCACAGAACAGCTCAACTCTTGATTCTTGGGTAAGCTGTTGAATTCATTGACACTGCTAGTCCTCGAGAATATCGCTGAATCAGTTCTAGCTTAAAAGGTCTGCAGATAATCATCATTTCACAGAGTAATGCTTATTTTATGTGACATAAGTGTTATTCAGATGTTCCTGTACTGATCTCCTTCAGGTCAGACCACAATTTGACCGTTCGATTGCAGCTGCACTGCCGGTGAGACGAGGAAGGAGAAGATGCGTCTCTGCCATAAACATCCTTGACAGTTGCAGTCAGCTGTCCAGAAAGAAGAGCGTGTGCAAATTCCCCTCATTATCGTTTCAGACGGGGTCAAGAGACCAATCTCATCAACCAAAGAGCACACGCACAAAGAAATCTACGGAGTGTGACGCAGGAAATCAACCACGGGGATCATGCCGAATGAAAAGGACTGTTTCAAGTGCACAGTACTCTGACACACCAAAGAAACAGCCGACCTCAATCAGAAAAAGGAATGAGGAGATATTTTCCAATGGTGCTGCGTCTTGTAGCAGATGTTTGGACGAGCCTGAAGCTCCATCTATTCAAGTGACAGAGAAATGCAGGATTCCAGCAGATGGTGCGTCAACACCTGTCTCCAATGAGGTCAGCAGGGTCAGTCCACCACCCGACGTGGACACTCCAAAAGTAATTCAAGGAGGGAGTAGCTGTCCCCCCTTCACCTCTCTGCAATTGGTACAGGCTCCACCATGTACACCACCATGTAATCAGCCACCTGACATTTTAGTGGCTGACACACCAGAGCAGGATTATGGGGTGAAGGTGACATGGAGGAGGAGGAGGGGTTTGATGATGATGTTGAAAGAGAGGGGCCAGCTCTCTGATTCAGATGCCTTAATTAACAGCTGATGTAGAGATTGTGTAAGAAGATGATTACGCAATGTCACAGATTATTCATCGGACGCACTTCTGTGACCAGAATTCTTTCTATGAACTGTTTTTTATTGCACTGAATGGAGCTGCTGCATTTTGAAGTCATGGTCAAATTATTAAATGTCTCTCACCCAATGGTGCACCCACTTCACAACCCTGGTTTATCATTGTCAGACTCAAATAATCAAATCAAAGAATGGACAAATTAAAATTGCAATAATTACCGCAATATCCAAATGGCAAACTTTTTCCATGAGTGGGAAATTATTAAGACTGATACTGTACTGTTACAGATTATGTTGCAAATTCTGTATAATCCTGACCTCTAGCAACACCAGCCTTTTGTTTCTTCTTACGCTCCTACACTTTAATGGCACAAGTGTGGGAAAAGGTCATGTTCATATGGACTATATTGAGCAAATACTATAATTTTGTCAATGACATGAATGCTTGACTCACTGATGTAATATAACAAAGGATGCTGCTGAAAGAATGTTTGTGAGCAATGCTCTGTAACTTAAAACCATTTTTTTTTCTTTTTCAAATGTGTAAAGTACATAATAATAAATGTGTGTGTCCAAAGGGAAAACTGAATTCTTGGTTTATTGAGACTTCTCTTAGACTGCATTTAGTGATATGATGGCAGGGATAGTGAAACTCTTAAGAAGATCCCATTTCTCTCTGAAATGTGATTACATGATATAAATGTTGATAGATAGATAGTTACTTTATTAATCCTGCAAGGGGAAATTTGTTTGCTACAATGGCAAAATATATACATAAGCAATCAAAGTAACAGAGTAAAAAATAAAAATATTAAGTCTAAAAATGCACAAATATACGATAAAATAACAGTAAAACATTAAATGTAAAAAATGCACAGTACATACAATTAATTTTTTATATTTAATATTTTTTACTCTGTTATTTTGTATTACTTATGTATATTTTCAAGGTAAAAAGGACAACATAATAACAGGTCTCAACAGGAGGACAGCTCTCTCCATCATCCAGGATGTCCGCCAATCAGAATCCACGTAGGGAATCGGCCGACCAATAGGAACGCCCGGTCTTAGTGTGCTCCGTAACCAAGGACCGAGTAACAGAGCTCATCCAGAAAAGAGAGTTTTGCTGCACGAGGATCTTCCTTAGTAACCGTGGATAAACATGAGTTACTACAGTATAAGGTAAAGTAAAAGATAGTATTTGTATTTGTTCCGTTTGGCCAAACTTGGGCACGAGATGCTAGCCGGTGTCTATCGTTTTCTTTTACACGTAAAAACTTTTATTTTTTTATAAAGGCACCATTGCATACAGTAGAGGCAGCTAACGTTAGCTTCTAATCGCAACAAGCTAGCTGTAAAAATTCCCAGCAGGCGGATAAACACAGCTGACGGATAACATGTCTTTTCTCCCCTCATTTTGACGATATATGTGACTCATTTAATGTCAAGCTAAAGTAAGCGAGCTAACGGTCGAAGTGTCACAGCACAGCAAAGGAAATAAATGAACTATTCGGCTACATTAACGCTATTACAAGTGAATAACGTGCTTTAATCGTGTTTATGATGGCTCGCTAGCCAGTACAAATGGAACAACATTTGGAAAGCAATGGACTGTCTAGTTACGTAATATATTTTTTGCATTTCTGTATTTTGACTTGCAATTTCCTGCGGTATTCCCGTCGATACAATGTAGCGACAACTTCACTCAATATGTAGCTTTGCGTGGAGTTTTGGAATGTGGAATTATGCGGCGCCTTCCGTTTAATTACAACGTATCAAGTGTTATGCATCGCAGATGGTGGAAGGCACACGGTCACTTCAGAGCCCTGGCTTTAGGTTGAAGTAGCTTTAAGTCCAGTGACGCAAGAGGCATAATGAAATCAAAACATTGCATGTCATGTTAGAGCATGTCTTCCTGTAGCCTCTGTCTATTCTTGTGTCAAAGAGTTCATGTTAATTAGTTACGTTATACGTCCTCGCCACGTAAACGAGCAACTAAAGTTATTGACCTAATATATCGATAACCAAGTGAAAGAAAGTAGGGCATTTGAAAATAACAAGAGGGATCGATTGCACGCATGTAGCAGAAGCTTGGTAGTCATTGCCAGACTCAAACACATAATTCACCTCAGCATAATGCACAATAGTGCTTCCTACACGTTCCCTCTGATGTCCACTCACTGCTGGTCATGCAAACAGGTGTTGGAAAAAAGGATAGTGTGTGTGTGTGTGCGTGTGTGTGCATTTCAAGCACTGGAGCAGAGGTCTGCTTTCATTTTGCAGAGAGATAAAAATCAAAGTACCTCCCACTCTTTCCTGTTACATTCCCAGTCTGAGTATTTGTTGTTTTTTCTTCTCCAGTTTGTCAAGCAGAGCTGCCATTCAAGGCACTGACCCATAATGCAACATATTCTTGATTGCAGTTACAGTGATGTTACTGCAAACAAGTATGTGGCTTGCTACATCCGTGGTATATTCTTGTTAAATTGTCTTTGTACTACATTCATCCTAAGTGGTGCCAGTCAGTGTTGGTGGGTTCGTTTGTTGTATAAGAAAACGATGAGCTACCACCCTGGTAATGTTTTCCCCCAGATGTCTATAACAAACACTGGGCTTTTGAAAAAGGGAAACTCTTGGCTTTGTAGAAATGTGAGACACAGCAATGGACTCCTTATGAGCCCACATGCTGTGATGCACTCTGCTCATCGGCTCGACGAACCCAGACAGCTTGTGTTATAAAGTTCACAGATGGCTGACTCAGCATTTGTAATGATCAACCTTTGTACAAAGTTGAATAAGGGGCCTTTTCTCTGCATGTTGTTGCTTTTTTTACTGTCTCTTACAAATGTATTGATTACTATTAGTATTACTGTGACACAAGTATTTCCAAAGCACAGGGACGCTTTTACAAATACCGGAGCCTGCTCGCAGAGCTGACACATCTGAGGAGTGGCAGCTTTTCATAACAGCATCGCAAGTGTAACGTTGGAGTGACCGATAACATGAGTGTAGAGTTGAAAGTTTTCTGTTTGCTTGATGCATTATCGTTGCCAGGGTTAGCGTTAAAAACGACACACACAACCGAAATGAGAAATGGAGAAATCTGTACTTTAATGGCACCTAAAGACTTCCTGTGTCGGGTAGAAGGTAATGAAAGCCAACACGTTTCCAGGTTGTTATTGTTGACGACTGAAGCTAGGTCTGCCATGGCTCTTAACCCTAGTGGGGCGTTTGTTTTGCTATGAATCTGGGTACAATTACGTATCGTATCATCGAGTACCATCAGTATTACTGTCCAGAATATCCTATAGAGTGGGTGCAATGTCAAGGTCAGAAAGATCACAAATGCCACAGGAGTTAGCAAGCAACTAACTGTTATGTGCAGGAATTGTCATCACGGTTGGAAATGCAGCTGACTAAACTGCCAAATGTATAATGTTTCGGTTCCCCAAGAGGAATCGATGTATGAAAATGAATTCAGTACTTCAGGACCTTCTCTAACTACACCGTGGCTTGTGGTTGAGTTGTGACTCACTGTGGTGTCCACACACACGGCCCAGCTGGCCAGAGTATAATCCTCTCTGTTGCTCAATCACTGAGACACTGAAAACACATCCCTGGTGTTTGTAATGGACTCACTTTGTCTGCTGGTTGAATGCTACCACACGGGATACATTTCACTGAAGACGCAGTTTCTGCTGCGTGTGCGTGTCGGTGTTTCTGCATGATGTTACGATCAGTGCAGAGTGTCTTCTTCAAAGTGAAGCGTCACTGTCGGAGAGAGTGTTTCCCTTTGGAGTCCACAAGGGACACGGTATCATCATCAACTCTTGTAGCTTTTTTTTTTTTTTCCATCAATTGTTTTGAGCTCAATAATTACTCCCTGTGGTGAATAATTCCCCCGCTTATCATCCGTTGACTTGTATGTCAGAGCTGTCTCTCAGGACAGATGTACACAAACACATTCTTCATCTTCATCCCGCTCTTGCAAATAGGCTCAGAAAAAAAAACCGATTGGGAGGCTCATGGTTTCCTAGCAACTGGATTAAGGTCCCCACACCATGTCTGTTTTTAGAAAGGAGTAATCTAGAGGTTTCACTCTGTTGAGTTACCTTTTTTAAATATGAGGAACACCGACTGGCACGTCTTACTCATACGCTGAGATTTAGGCTATTTAAAGCTCAATAAATTCCCACTATTGCATGTAAGTGAGATGCCAGACAGATTGTGCATCCGTGGCATGATATATCAATGGCTCCTTACGAGTCAGAGGATATGAGCTGTGCCTGCTGAGTCTTTCAGAAAGTAGCCGGGCAGTAAAGTAAGAAGAACTCAGGTGACGACAAGCTGTCAAATTGATTTTATTTTGGAAGTGTATCCAGCCACTGGGATATGGGGCGATGTTATATCACACATAAAACAAGCTCAAACAGCCAACCGCTGCACTCACAGTGTCAATCCTGCTTATGTCACTTCACTGACATTCATAGAAAATTCAGCCTTGTGCGACACTCGTATTCAGGCCGATCACCTTCATGCCTACCTCCAGTTGAACCCTTGTGAGTTGCCCGAGGTGTGAAGTCATAGCAACAGCTCAAAGCCTCCAGACCTCAGTCGGTAGCTGTCACTCCCCTGGGTGGGACATAGCGACTACATAGTCAGTGATCTTGGTGCCTGCGGGGCTTACTTACTGTCAGGTAGGACCGCACAGTAACTCTGAGCTCCAGTGCGAATGAAGATCGGTGTGATAGGAGAGCCCTGGATTAGAATTCCTGCAGCCGCATCCATGGACGCTATAAAGGATGGGAGAGCTCAGCCCGTCTACAGCCGCTGGTCATACAGGTATAGCTGCGCACTGGCACACATATGTTATGCTCTTTGTACTATAGAGTGTTGTTTGAAAGTAGCCTTCCTTGTGTGCTCTCCAAGACTTATGGTTTATTTGTTCCAGCAGGACAACTGGCTCCTGCATCAACACACACACACACACACACACAGACCAACACATTTTTCCTTTAGTCCTCCAAGCTGTATTGACTTTGCAGGATTGAGGATTGCACAGTGGCCTGTGCCAAGACGAGAGGTCAGCGCTACTATAACGTTTCTTCCAGCCGCGCCGCTCCATCCCTCTGGCCAGCCGAATGGCTGACCTGCAGTCAAAGATGTGCCTCTCGCTCATGTTTCCGCCACCGCGTCGTTACTTATTCAGGCCGTGACTGAGCTGTAACCAGAGTTGGTGATTTTCGTGTCCAAGCTGTTGGCTGCTTGATTGAAACACTCATGTCACTGAGGATGTGCTCAGAATATCCATCCAACTGATTACTGCAACAGCTGAAATGACTGTGACTGTTCAATGTGTCCTCTTAGCATTTCCTTTGTCAGGGCTCAGCGATGTCTAGTTTCTAATGTAATGGCAGTACGTCCTTTATTAGTGATCCAGTGTGTTGAGGGTCCAGCTATACGCTTTGTTGTTCAAAGCACCAACAAAGGGTGACGTGAACCCCTAACTGTGCTGCGTCTCGGTGCTCCTGTGCTATTTGCACATATTTAAATTAGGTAATATGCAAACAGTTGGTGCAAAATTGTCCCCTTTCTATGCAAATGAGCCACATTGCAAAAACAGTACAATTCACAAAGATCGGCAATTACAGCCACACGTGGTGACAGTGAAATTATTAGCATCTTCTGGGAACTGAAGCGCATTTATGAGGGCTGTCTCACTCAGACTTTCCAGTGATCATGGCAGCAGTGATTGTATTGCATCGTCATGACATCTTCTTTTACAGTCTGACGGTGTGAGACCGACAGACGGGGATATTGAATCCCGAGTACGGTTTCTCTCACGTCACGTTCAAATTTGTTGCCTGAAGTTCTGCCTCTTCACCTCGTCGGTCAGGACCTTCAGCTCTTTTTCATTTTCTTTTTGCATCTCTGCCATTGTTCTGCCTGCTGTGTTCTTGGTGCAAATGCAACATTTATACATTTCCACAGACAGAGGGGGGAAAAAGGCAGATTGTACTCTGCAGCACATCTTTATGGGCGTGCATGCGCTATATGCTAAATATCTACATGGTGCTATCAGCCACCCCAATCCATTCTTTGTGAATTTTCCTCTTAGGGTGGACGTGGTTCTACTCGGGGTTGCTGTTTCAGATCTGTTTTACACAAGTGAGCTATGTAAGACTCCACAGGGAATCAGGCATTTAATCTCATCCGTCCTCCTTTTATTCTGTGTCCTCTCTTAGATGGAAGCCGAATGGCCCGTGGCAGACATTACGTTGTGCTCAGTCAACTTTTAAATTCCTCTTTGAAGTGGCAAAGGCTTTTAATTAAAACGAACAACAGCTAAAAATGGCCTGTGCTCCGATGAGAAGATAATGCCATGCAATGTTTTTTAATAGCTTTGATATTGTCATCTTGTCCTCCTTTGCACCGTGAACCCACAGTGGTGTGATGGAGAGTTATTAACATGTCATTATTTGCAGCATAAAAATCACATTATATCTATTAGTTATGTGCAGCCCAGCAGTAATTAGACCCCTCCCTCTGTCGCTCTGTAAATCCTTACAGCACAGTGTTAAGACCTCCGATTACAGTGAAGCCCAAGAACTGGCTGCAGGCTTTTAATCAATGCTGGTGGAGGTGCGCTGTTGACGGAGCTCAAGTCTCCATGGCTACACAAGGAAGGGACAACAGGGGCCCGTCCTTCTCTCATCACCCAAGCTGTGACGGACTAATGAAACATTGATCACTCACAGCTGTGATGAGGCACAAGTGTGTGTGTGTGTGAACATTTGCAGTAGAGGACATTCTCTCAACCCCCAACAGATTGAAGTATTTGTGATAATACTCTGTCTTTTATTTTATGTTGCACCTGTTCTTCAGCTGTCCTGTGTCTTAATGATCAGCTTGCTTGGCCTCATCAGATCATTACTGTCCTCCTAAAGCATAACCTCTGTTAGTTTTTGATCATGTTTCTCAACTTGTTTCATTCTCCTGTCCTCACTGCCGCCTTGGTGCCAAATTGCTGTTGTCCCTGAAGACCCTCGAGCTCTGCCAGCTTCTCTAACTCAACGGCAAGGTAGGAAGCGACACACTCGCACGCACACACACTCTCTTCTCACAACCTGTGTCTTGAACAACCAAGTTAACAGACGTCTAGTTCCATTTTCAAAGGGCATTTTATCCGTTGTGTAAACGCCACGTTTGTCACATGGCTTAATGTCATGTCAGATACGCTTTCATCGTTTATGATTGCTCTCTTGGGGCTAGAGTGCTACAGAGTGGCACTTCTTTGTGTGGGAAAACATGCTCGACTATTTCAAAGCCACCATAAATACATTTAATCGCATTCTTTTCGGACAAAGATTGCCTCAGGGGTGAACCGCACACTGGGTTTGAGGTTGGAAACATCAGGGAAACTCTCCGATATAGAGGGTGTGTCTTCAGCCATTCACGAGACTGTACTTTGCATGGAAACAGCATTATTAATAGCACAGCATAATGGGAAATCTAAGTCAACATTTTGTGGCTGTCCTTTGGTAGAAGTAAGTACTCATGCAGAGACCCGTAGTACCTTCTGCCGTGTCTTGCTGTTCACCTGCACACATATCTTTCCCCACCCTCCTAAATGGCAGTCCTGCATGTGTAATTAAAAACTACTATCATCCTCCATCCTCGATTACTTTTTCTTAGTGACCAGCACTTGTTCTCAGGAGCCATAATGGCCTTGACATTTGGAGAGGGATTTACAAGTGAGACGACACGGCTGGTGCGAGATGACCCATCTTGACGGAGAAGCGACTGATCGGAGGTGTTGGTCTACGGGCTGTGAGAAGTGGAGAGGGCCTATTGAAACGAAACTCATCACCTTTTAACATCCAGCGACTGTTCTCCAGTGCTGAGCAGTGATGTCAGCCAGCGTTGGGCTTGAGGTCCTTTAAGTAGTGTGTGTCATCACCTACACACTAGAGCTGTGGAAGGGATGTAATATAACTGAGGGAAATAGAAATGGGGGGGAGTTGCCTGATTTGACGACTTCTCATCCTATACCCTTAATGAAAAGATGAGAGAAATGAGAAATGGAGTTAGTGGCCTGCCTACACATTACATCAGCCTATGTGAGAGACTGGGATACTGCAGGTCTCTGACTCCCGACAGTACAGACTCCTGCTGTTGCCCTTCTCTCCCCTCACGGTAGCTGAGCAACACGGGCCCGGTCTCTTCAGATAGGTGTCCAGGGTGAATTCCCAGAGGATCCAGACTTCAAGGCATCCTCTCAGCTGGAGCGTTGTATTTTCTTCTTTTCCCCTTCTGTCACTTTCAGAGAATGACTCATGCCGTGTTTCACCAACAAGCTCAGAAGGTCACTTTTTCACCTGCAGATTTGTCGTTATTTGGTTTTATTACACGTTTAAAACTGCCACTACTGTGACTGAACCCTGTTAACGCCTTAATTGGTTTATTTCATTCAAGACCACGCAGGAGACAAAGCCTTTATTGCCTCGTGTGCAACAGCAGTGGTGACCTCTGCTGGTTTGATATGGAAAATCAAATTCAAGTGTCATCCTTTCAGAGATTAGCATGTGTGAAATCTTTAACTCTTTACAAGAAAGGTTTCTTCTGTTTTCCTCCGCAGTGGCATCGAAGATGACAGCACCAGTCTTATGCAGCAGAAGCTGGAAAAACAGGTAGGAAGCCAAAGTTCATTCACTAACACACACTTAGCGTCGAGACCTTGATGCCTCCACTCTTTCATTATCGTAGTTTTAAAGCAGGGAAGCACCAAGGCTGATATCGGGCCGATACTGACTCCAGTAGCTGGATCGGGTCTCGGTGGCACTTAAAAGAATGATGCCAGTCACTTCCACACAGTGAGACAAACAGCCAGTATCGGCCAAAACCCAAAGCCAGGTATCGGTACCGGGACTGGAAAAGTGAGATTGGTTGCATCCCTCCTTCAAAGAACATCTGCTCGGCTTCATAGCTGTTGCGCTGCACCTTTAGCCTGATTAAGCCCTCCAACTCACACATAGGTGGTGTTTATGAGAGCTAACCTTTTAGTTGTCTATTTGTAAGCACCTGCCAAGATTTAGCATGAATACGGGGACATTAAAAGGGCTGAGATGACTCTGGGTTCTGCCACTCCGGTGTCACCAAGGGGTGCCTGCTGTTGGCAGGAGCAGCTTCAACACCGCCGCAATTTAGTGATTAATGGCGGGTTCGGAAATCTGTTTTTCACCCGCCCTGTCACTTGGAATTTTAAAGCTTACTCGCTCCTGAGACTGAATTGTTTCCTCTTATCCACCCTTTACCTGACATAGCCCTTCTTCTGTCACACATTTGTTCTCTTTTCAACAACCCCCCCCCCCCCCCCGAGTCTCTGTAAGACGCTTTATCCCAAACCTCGCTGAAGAGCCGCGGTGTAGAGCTTTGATTTAAGCTGGAAGCCGTTCTCCACTATCTCACATATTAGGCAGAAAGGAGCGGGAGGGCCAGATTGGTGAGTTCAAAGAGAGGGAAGGATTTAGTGCGGGGCGCCTGGCTTTGTGTGTGTGTGTGTGTGTGTGTGTGTGTGTGTGTGTGTGTGTGTGTGTGTGTGTCCCAAGGTCCTACTGTGGTTCAGTTATGCTGCACACTTTCAGTTGAGTCCAAACAGCCTCACTTGAGAGTCTTCTGTTCTTATATAACTCATCATGAGGACAAACACACATGCTGTTCTTCACAGAGAGGGGAGGGGAGGGGAGGGGAGGGGGGGGGGGGGGTCACATGCAGGTTATGGAAAATTGATGAATATTAAATAAAAGTTAAATCTGTCTTCTTTTCTACGTTCTCACTGTTTCACTCCCCATTTCGAATAGTAAAATGAAAATCATTCAGATAATAATACCGGGCGCACTGTGGCCGTGACCGTATCTCACTTTGAGTGCACCTCACAGCCCCTCTCTCCCCTCTCCCCCCTCCCCCCTCTCCCTCTCTCCCTCTCTCCCTCCTGCCGGAGCACTAATGACGGCTGATTCAGTTAGCGGCACATACTGGCGCGCCGTGTTTGGCTGAGAGCCAGACCCCTTTTTGTCTGTCAGAGGACCACATAGTGCAGAGGAGGCTGTTAGTTTCTCGACTGTAAAACTCCAGTTCCAGAGGAGGAAGGAGGGACAGGGAGACCGAGTCATGCCCAGCAGGAGCGCTGCTCTTTGGGGGAGAACGTGCTTTCATCTGACCTCAAGACAAGTGGGACCTGTAATGTCTGTTCTGTAAAGAAACCGGTTAACTTTGGCTCACATTCAGGATCTCAATGGAACGGGTTGGTAATATCTAATGTTTCTGTTTTTGATATATACATTTTTTACTTTGTGAGGATAACAGTTTGTATGAAGTGTGAGGCTGTTCACCTTCCTGTCTGACTGTTTTTCAAACTTTCTGTCTGAGGTAGGAAAGATTCAGACACCCAGTAATCTCTCACTGACTAAGATCCACTTTTGTCTTTGAGAAGCCACACATTAATAAACCGTATGTCTCCTCTAATCAGATTTATAGTTTAGTCTACTTTACCTCATGTTTTGGCTGGTACAGGAAAGGCTGTTAGAGCCTGAATGAAGTCACATCCTGCTCTCAAAATGCCAAGTACAGAGTCTTAACAAAAGAATGCAATATTACAATAGATTGTGTAGCTGCTATTTTAAGCCAAACTGTTCAGGCTTTGATTGTATGAAGAATTAGAGTGTAGACTCACTGATTGTCTTGTTTTCAGTTGTGCCTAATCAATCTAATTCAATTCATTAAAAAGTCACTATCTCGACCAAAGGCAGAATAACTGAATGTAGAAAATAACACGTAATTCAAGAGAATCTTTACGATATGTTTAATTTAATGGTTTGAAACCACCAATAGAAAGATGGGCTTCAGGCCATATTCATCTTTACATACAACTTCACCATCATCAGTAAACATCATAGAACATTGGCTGTATTTCCACCTCTATTTATGACCCTACCAGTAATGACGTTATTATGATAATCTAGCTGTATGTTTTGTTCATTTGTCGCCTTTATTTATAACCATATAGCGAGCATGCAAATCCAGAGTCTTTTGAAATGATAACAAATCTCTTTTCATTAAAGAACTAATGTATTCAGTGATACAATTTCTATTGCCTTTTTGTATTATTAGTCATACCTCCTATATATTCCCATCTGTTGGTCAATGCACCGTGCCTCTTTGCAGTCATGGAGATTGTTCTTTTTATGGTGGTGGTGATGTAAACTTTCGCACTTATCCGTTAACCTGTTCACTGGTAAGTCATAACGGTGGTAGCAGATGTTGTGGTTGCACAGAAACCGTGAGACGGATTTATTAGAGACTGACTGATGAGTTATGAAAGCTGTTTTTTGTCCGGCAAATAGGCGACAAGGCCTCCTGGTCTCTTCAAGCTCGCTTAAACAGCATCACCAAACAGGACTCGTGCTCTTGACGCGCTAATTGATGTGCTTGCGTAATCCATCGGCTGCTTTGACCACAGAGACGGACCTGTGGGCAGGGGACACAGCATGTCCACGATGAACACCGCCACCTGAAGCACATACTCAAGCTGTGTAGTCGAAGGGCAAAACATACCAGCTGAGGAAAAGGAAAACAACTTAACGTCACTGATCACATTTAGTTGGAAACTACTCTTGTTGGACGATATATTGTCCCATAAATAATTGTGATTATTGTCATTTTAAGCCACTGATATAATGATAATATGAAAGCAAAATAATGCAAGTACACCCTTTCAAAGAGCAATGAACGTTAACGATATCCAGACACTGTCCATACATCGTACGATAAGTCGATAACGTAATTATCATGACAGGCCTAGATCCTCAGAGGCCTCACTTCTATAAAACCTCATTGGATGGAATGTTGGCCATTCTCTGTTATAGAATAATACAGCATACCACCAAATGAGACTCTGGCACCAGCCGTGAGTTTGTCTATTCAGTGAACCCGTTCAATGCACTCAGAGGCATTCATGCCTTGGCATGATTGTTGGGTTTTATTATGGCTTTATTTTTTTTTGCCTTCATCTTTTGGCTTTACGCTTCTTACATTCACATCACCTCTACTGAGTGTTTGCATCACCCCATGCAGTGCGTTCCATCACTGCACTCATTGTGTAAATAAAGAGATTCAAGTTTTCTATACCACGAAAGGTTGCTTTGTTTGTAATGTAAAATATTCGTGTGGCTGCAACACTATGTTTGAAAGTAAAATATTTTTGGTGAATGGTAAAAATGGTGAATCCTTGCCGTTTTATCATTTAACATCAGCCTCAGCTGTTTATTGAGAATAATTCTAATTGTGCAGTTGTCGCCTGTACCTTTTAAAGTGTCCCCATGTTTGATATTTCCTTTCTGGCTATTTTTAATACCTACTGATAGGCACAGGTTGGAGCTCATCATGTATACTAATGTGATTACCCTCAGCTCATGGAGTCAATGTTCTCCGGCTTGGCTAAATCCTCTCTTGTAACATTTAATAGAAGCCTTGTGTATAAATATGCGTGTGATTTCCCGGTAGTGCTCCTTGAAACTCCTTCCTTTCCCCCTGTTTGGTCCACAGAGGGCACTGCTGGAGCAGAAGCAGCGGAGGAAGCGTCAGGAACCCCTGATGGTGCAGCCCAACACAGAGGCTCGGCCCCGGCGCTCCAGGACGCGGCGTGGTGAGGAGCAGGCCCCTCTGGTGGAGTCCCAAGTCAGTATCACCCACGATGTCATCATGGATGGTGAGGAAAATATCCTCTTGTTATTATGTTGCATCATTTCTGAACACCACATGAGGGATATCCTTCCTCTCTGCATGGAGAGTTGGCCTTGATGTGCTACATTCTGTTTATGGGAACGGAATGATATCGATGTGTTTAAAAGCCAGCATTATAATGTGTAACTGCATGAATGCTAAAAATACAAAAAAAGACATTTATTTAATTTATTAACCAGAACATGAGACCGTTAACAGCTGAGGTAACAACTGACTGGTCTCCCCTGCTGCAGGTATCGATGGCCCAGCTGCTTTCTTGGGCTCAGAAGCCCCTGATCTGGGAATAAAAATCCTGTCAGTGAGCCAGTTCCAATCCCAGTCCCAGTCCCAGTCCCCTGTTGCCGAGGAGCCTGAGAGAGATGGAGACACTGAGACGCTGCTAGAACCCAAGACAGATATCCATGAATTACTGCAGAAACAAGGTGAGTCCTAGCAGAGCTTAATACTTCATTGGCTTTTCAAGAGAAACTACACTTCATTTTTCTGGAGACACAGACCAGCCAGTTTGCCGTTTTCAGGTGGCCTCAATCTCCCCTCATTTTGACCCAGTTGGTAGTAAAATGCACTTTGACAAAATATACCAATCTAATCTAATCAAAACATAGATATCGTTAGTGAAGTAGAGAAACAAGTAAACGTTCTCTTGTTTGGAACAATGCAGCAGGAAAAATCACCCACAAAGACATTTTAAAAGGGGAAGCGCACTTTTAATTCACTTCACTGAAGGATTAGTGAGGCACTAATTCTCCATTCAGACATTTTAAATCTATTAATTGACTTTTATCCTGTGTTCAGGGAAGATGCGTCTTCAGTCAAATATCATTTGGTTTCATGAGCACGCCTGCTTAATTATTTGCCTTCCTCGCTGATTCTGGATGCTGTTTCCCAATCCACTCTGTTTTCATGTAGTCGGAGTTCTCAGTCACTCCAGATTAGCAGCTGTTTGCCAGACTTCTTGACATTTCCTAGAATTCTAAGCACTCTGCTGCTGCTGCGGCGTGGAACAGGGACGGAGACAGTGGTGTGATGGATGGTGACGCAGTGAGAAATGGGTCATTTAATAATAGGCCAGGGCATTGTTCACCCTGCAGTGCTCATCTATGGCATCATTATAGATATGGCCACCCACACTCACCAGCCGGCTGGCAGGGACTCTTAGAAAGTTTATGGAGGATGCATTAAAACCATGCCCGAGTGGGTCGTGTACTCTTCTGATCCACCTGCTGCTGCGGAGCAAAAACAAGTTTCTCCATCCGAAAAACATGTTCATTTAAAACCATAAAGGTTTAGGGAGACGTAGTGCCACGGTGGCAAATGTCACTGTCCTTCTCAATAATGCAAGGCCTCACTGCTAACACCAGCCCAGTTTATCATAGGAATATGTCCTCAGGACTTGCAGAAGGTATTTTTGGCTCCCTGTCCTTGCATAACACCCCAACCCCCCAAGAAACAGAAAAGTTGTGGTACACTCATATTTGATCAGCTCATTTTTGACTTCCTGTGAAAGATATTCTTCACCAGCTGCGCGTTGATAATCATGTAAATGTGTGTGTTCTTTGGAGGGTTTATTCAGTAGGTTGTTGGTTAGCCAATTATGAGTCCTCTCTGACATTTCCAGATGATTGATTTCATAAGCCACTGGCCGACTTCTGCACGGCGGTTTCATTGGAGCCCCGGTGTCACGGTTAGAGGGAAGATAACATTTGCAATCTGTGTTTCATGATGGTACTCGCTGTCTCGCAGGGATCGCTGCATATCCTGGATCCATCTCTTGTAAATACCCCAGGATACATATTGTGCTTGGCTGTGTTTGTCTGTCACATTATTATTCTTGTTCAATACTGCAGAGGCCGGTGCTCTCCCACCGCTCACGCTCGCTAACCGGCCGATGACGTGTTGGTCCAGGTGGAGGGAAGAAGTGGCAGACCGGCTCGTCTGTGTGCCAAGTACAAAATGGTCTATGTGTAAAGAAGTGGGCTTTGCCATTTAAATCAATTCGAAGCTGAAGATTATATTTTGGGAAACTGGTGCAACATGCTCTATCATTTTCTACCAAACCACACTATTAGCATTAATGTAATTTCTGGTCAAGCAATTCATTTTACAATTCTTAAACATTGCAAAGCTCTGGTGACACAAGCTCCCCTGCTCAGTGGTGGACCACCGCCATCCCCTGACAGCACATTCAAATGGGCTCTATAGCTGCAGCCAAGAGCAGCGACCTGGCTGATGAATCCAATTATCAATCAAGAGACAGATGTGTTTTACATTTTACATCTGCGTGACTGCGCCGGAGCTGTCTCCTCACAAGCACGCAGATGCAAGCTGCGCATCTCTTCACATTAATCTCACCATTGCAGGAACTGACTTAGAAAAAAAGATGCATTGTTTGTGACAGGTATTGAGGCCATGCCCGGATGTGACCTTTCGGTTGGGTGAGTGCTGAGCAGAGCCCTCTAAACCACAAGCAGTTTCAGGGCCTTTTTTTTTTAGTTTTTGGTCCTCGTCACATTTTATTCACTGTGTCTGAGTTTTTCTCTGCAATATAATAAGTCCTGCAGGTCTATGGAAACAGCTGGTGTTAGTTAGAAGTTGGGGAAACTCAAAAATGTCTCTTGTGCAGTATTACACAGTCGCGATGCCATAAATCATAAAGAAGAAAAAAGACAATTTCAATGTTTTTGATCATTTATTTTACAAAAATTGGAAAAAATATATAAAATATATAATAAACATTTTTCCAAGTGCCCACAAGTGTAACCAATATTGACAAATAAATGTGGACATTTAGAGTTTAGTTTGATGTCTCAGTTGGATTCACAATGCTTTGTTCATTTCCCTCTTTTGCTGTAAAAGAGATTAAATAAATCTCCCGAGTAAACCAAATACCCTGCTTAATATTTCTGAGGAATATCTTTCTATTGAATAATGCACTACTTTTGCTTCAGCCGTTGCATAAGTATTGCATCATTTCTAATTGAGCTTTCATACATCAAAGACCGTAGATGAACCAAAAAACAGTGAAGTACAATTTTGTACTTGAAAACTAAAGAACCTCTGGGAAGTCTTTACACAGACAGAGCTTCTGGGATCTATTTTCAACGTCTAGTCTGGTGTGTATTTTTGTGAAATTATAAGAGGCCTTCATTTGGCATTAAAGCTCCGTCCCACCATTTGCCTCTTCTTCCTCACCAGGTCTGTCTGGCAGTATGAACTTCGATGAAGACAGCGAGCACGAGGACGATGCGGAGGAAGAACGTTCACGTTCTCTGTCCCCCAACGCAGACAACACCAGACCCGCCTCCGCCACCAGTGGCAAGGACATTCCAGTGAGTGGCGCAATAAAAGCACTTAACCAACACGCTTTTAACAAAGACGAATCCCAACCGCAACACTGAATATTGTGTTCATGCACCGTGTTGTGCCCAGGAGGTGGCATCCCCCGGATCGCCCACAGCAGAGAGCTCACTGATCGATGTGGACAATCCAGAGGAGTTTGTCTTGCGTCCGGCTCCACGCAACGTCACCGTTAAATGTCGAATCACCCGGGACAAGAAGGGCATGGACCGCGGCCTCTACCCCACCTACTTCATGCACATGGAGAGAGATGATGGCAAGAAAGTGAGTGTGTAGCCATCTAGGAAAAACAACTTTAATATACAAAACTGAATTACTTTCAAGATGAGCAAAGAATTAAGCTCTCAGGAGTACAGCATCTGTGTACAGTAGATATATAAACATTTTCTGTCTCTTTTTCTAGGTCTTTTTGCTGGCAGGAAGGAAGAGGAAGAAGAGTAAGACGTCCAACTACCTTATTTCAGTGGATGCCACTGATCTGTCGCGAGAGGGAGAGAGCTTCATAGGAAAGCTGAGGTAAAAAGCACACTTTCTCTCAGATCTACCTGCATCCACGGAGGTCATAGCATACCTGAATATACATCTCAGGGTGCTTTGTCCCATTACCTGTTTGGTTCGTTTAAAACAAAACTCGCCCAGTTAGTACGGTACATTTAGGCTGGTGGGAAAGTTGTCACTGGAACCCCGGTGTGGACCAACAAGCGAGCCGAGACCGCATGAAAATGTGGTGTGAAAGCAAACGAACTAACCACAAGATTTTATGAAAGCAGATGTTTGATTTTTTATCTTTCAGACACTGTGCAGCGACTGTTAGTAATTGCTGCTATTAAACTGTGTACAGGTATGAAATGAAACCTTGCAGTGGTTATGTTTGGTTGCTTTTAAGATGATTTGCCTTCTCCACTACACGTGATTAGGATGTTAAAAATGCTGCCAGCAGTGGACAAAATGTGAAACGGAGGAAACATTTCATCTCGGGTGTGTATTCTATCAGGTCCAACCTCATGGGCACCAAATTTACAGTGTATGACAACGGCACCAATCCCTGCAAAAACCCCGGCACGCTGCTGGAGGAGAGCAACACGCGACAGGAACTGGCTGCCATCTGCTACGTGAGTGAATGACAAAAGAAGCACACAAGCTTCCGCTGCGTCCCGTGTTCATTGCTACTATGAAGTGAAATTGTGATGCTCTCTGTACCACTTGGCAGGAGACCAACGTGCTGGGATTCAAAGGACCACGTAAGATGACCGTAATCATCCCCGGCATGAACATGAACTTTGAAAGAGTCCCCGTAAGGCCTCAAAATGTGAGTCCGATGCTCCCGGAATCATTCCGTCGGAACCAGAGCATTGGCCGAATGCGTAAACATGAGTGTGATTGTGTTACAGGAGCAGGAGAACCTCCTGAGCAGGTGGCAGAATCACTCGCTGGACAACCTGATTGAGTTGCACAATAAGGCCCCCGTGTGGAACGATGACACCCAGTCGTATGTGCTGAACTTCCACGGACGCGTCACCCAAGCTTCGGTCAAAAACTTTCAAATAGTTCACGACAACGACCGTAAGTATTCATCACTGTTCACTGTTTGTCCCCCGCACATTTTCATGCTTACAGTGACGATTAACAAGACTGTGTGGTTGTTTTACCGCCCCCCCCCAAAACTCTAGCGGATTACATCGTCATGCAGTTTGGCAGAGTGGCTGAAGACATCTTCACTCTGGACTACAACTATCCCATGTGCGCTCTTCAGGCCTTCGCCATTGGCCTGTCGAGCTTCGACAGCAAGTTGGCCTGTGAATGAACCGCCGGTTTTTAGCTCCACACCACCACCTTATTCCCCTCCCACCCCGTCAAATCTCCTCTCACAGGACTGTTTGGAAGCCCACAGCTACACTGCTTACATCATCAGGGGCCGGATCACGCAGAAGTCAAGAAACACATATGAGACTGAAGAAAAGAGCAGGAAGATACTGATAAGAGATGGTGGTGCTCTGTTGTGCCGATCCAAAACACCCTCTTTGTTTCTGTGTGGAAGCTTTTTTTATCATATCATTTTAGTGGGGTTATTTCAGTATCAATCTAACCATTTTGTACAGTTTACATGTACACATGTATACAAAATAAAAGGGAAAAGACAAAGCAGAACACACCCCTCTTGTTTGTGCCAGACACAGGCACTCTTGTCAGACATCTGGTGCAGAAATATCCGATAATAGATGTATGACTCGGTCAATGTTTGCAGGGGGTGATGTGTGTATTAACGATGTATTTTCTGTTGCCTTTGAATTTGGTTTCCCTGCGTGTTTTTGCCACACTAGCGATTTGGCTCCAAGGACGGCAATGCCGGCTGAGATTTGACTCTCCAGAGCATAAACCGTATTTAACTACATAACAACGTGGCCTTTCCTCTGGCACCGCCCTCAGGCCAAACCTCAGAGTTATCTGGTAACAAGGGACTAAGAAAGCAAAGTTGTTTTTATGTTTTCCATAAATCAAACTGCAAGTAAGTTGCATCATGGTCAGAATTTCAATCTTTATTACATGTTTAAATGTGACGACATGGTTTAATCTGCCGTTATCGTTCTTTTGTTTTGTCAACCTTTTTTATATTCTCGTGTGGAAAGTGCATTATTCAGAACAGACCTGTGTTATGGTTTTTGTTTGGATTTTTTTTTGTGAATAAGTGTAATTTTTATTACTGACGAGTTGGATTATCATGAGAGAAAAAAAATGCAGAATTGCACATGTAAACAGAAAGGATATACATACTGTATATAAAACACAAGGTAATGCCTTATCTGATCTCTTCTAGCAGTCTTTAAAAAAAACACAATTTACTAAATGTTATTTCAAGACATGGAATTTTAAAATATTGGAGAGTTAATACACTAGATAGAGCTTATATTTTCACTGGTGCACAAATACAGAGGTCGCCCCAGACTTTGTTTGTATGAAGAAAATCAAGAACTGTTTCTACACTTGAGTATTCAAGATATGAGGGAGCTTTAATTAAGCTGAGATAGAGGCCGTTATGTACAACTCACAGGTTTCAACAATATAACTGCCAGTGTCTCCTCCCTTTAGAATTATAAGGGAAATCAATAAAGGACGGCGTCCTTTACGGGTCTATGTCATCATTAAATGTCTCTAATATTTTGTTATTTCAGTGTACTGTATGTCTGTGAGGGACGTACAGTACATCTGTTTAGTACATAAATAATTCAGTTATTTTAAATCAGTCTAATCTGGATCCTCGAAAGAAAAAAATGTTGCGTGTTATTCAGGGTTAAATATAAATGCTACTTGATGTCACAGATACAATCAAGAGTACAAACACCTGGTTATGTCTTAAGGGAATTAATGTTACATTTTTTCAAAGTGTGCCAGCAATTTATGAACTTCCTGTTTTGTCATTTTGTGTGCAATGGAGTTTTGAGGAGAGAGAGAAAAAAAGAGTTTGTAGCAGATATTTTGAAATATAAATGCTTTTAGTGAAACACATTCCAGTCTGACGACATGTTCATACGGTTTTATTGGAACAGATGAAAAACAGTGGGTGATCATGTTCAAATACAGAGAGATGAGTGGATTCAGTGAACAGGTTATTTTCATGAACATGACCGATGTCAATTTGATTCAGAACACCTTTGAGAGAAAAACAACAGTACTTATTTACATCGATGTAAAATGTTTGAGTAACCAAAATAAAAAAACATTTTGAAAAAGTGCTTCGAAAAGTTTGAACTACATTTGAACCGTCTGCTTACATAACGTCGTTGCACATAATCTACATATTGATCTTTTCTGCAAGTGATAACATTTGATAAACATTTCCGACTAAACACTTTTAACACTTTGTGTCGGAACAATCAACAGCTAACTAAGGCCTGTCCTCTTCTTCATCAAATAGTAATCACTTTGGGCAGGTCTCTGTACTTGATGAGGTAGTATGGGTAGCACTGACAGCTGTCAAAAATTACAAACATGGTGGGCTTGTCAACGTTGTCCACGCAGGTGTCGTAGAGAAGGAACTGACTCGTCCTGGAGTTGAGTGGCGGCGGCCGGCGGTAGTGGCTCCTTCCGAGGCTCACCTTCCCCACCAGGACTTTGGCCAGGAACATGCAGCGGACCTCATCCGGCCCCGACTTGGCTGAAAAGGTTTTGGAGAAGGAGGCGGCGGGGGCGAAGTAGGAGCCGAACCCGTTGGACGTTCCGTTGACCCCGGCCATGCGGGGGTCGAAGTTGTTGTGGCAGATGTCCTCCGAGGGGTCTTTGGTTGTCCCGTGGAAGAGATGTCTCTCCAGAGGCTCCTGAGACGTGGCGTGCTGCTTCTGCATGTACGCCTTGTGCCTGCAATGACAACGCAGATCAATGTAGACGGTGTCTTTTGGACATGTTTCAGTATGCTGTGCTGAAACAAGCTTTTAAAAATCAATGTAAACTTAGTAACTAAAGTAGCTGGACCTTTGGTACTTGTCCCAGTGGAGGAGGTTCTGGACCTGCTGGATGCCGACGACGTCCACCTCGGTCTCAGGCAGGCTCTCGTAGAAGAAGTTCTGGACACTCCGGTAGGCCTGTGTGCCGGCCGGAAGGTCCACCAAGCTGTAGTCCTGTGCCGAGTCCAGACACCACACGGGAGGATACCAGGAGCTGAACTCCTCCAGAGGGTCCACGCTGAAGTTTGCCCCGGGGAGGTCGCCGACAGGCTCAGTCAGGATTCCTGTCCTGGGTGTAAAGTAGAGGAAGGGAGGATATCATCGCGATGAAGAGGAGATACAGGACGACTATATGTGGAACCTGACAATAACTACATCATGCGACTGAAACAGAGACACAGAGAAATGGATACCGACTGCAGGTAAGGCCGCATGGAATCGGGGGAGCGGTAGAGGGGTCTGCAGCGAACATTTCTGCGGAACCCTGTGGTGAAGTTGGTCTGGATCATGGTGGTGAAGTCCACCTTGTAGTCCTGGGAGCCAATATAGAAGGTACACTCGAGCTCCTTCTCGCTCATACTCTTCAGCAGCGAGGCGGACGCATCCTAACGGAGAGATGAAGCAGTCAAGTGAACAAGGAGCCGCTGCAAAACTCATAGCTCAGGGAGCGTTTAGAGGTAAAAGGAATCATGCCAAAGGGGGCGATAATGGAGATGAAAAGTACGAGATAAAGAAAAATAGACACCTTGTTGTACTCTTCCCAGTCCTGGTTGTTCCACCAGTAGATTTTCCATTTGCTGGGAAAGTACGGGTTTATGATCAGACTGTCAGAGTTAGTGAGTCGTCTAACTCCGTCATACTTCGATGAGTCGTTAATCTCCATCGAGTCAAAGACCAGACTGCAGTGGAGATTGCTAGATGGAGTGTTGCACAACAGCATTGTAAGGTCAAACTGAAAACACACTAAGTTTTATTTTTGACTCAGGGAAAACCAAACTTGCTGTCAACAACCCAAATGCAAAAAATGGGGACAAAGATAATTAGTTTGTCAATTTTCCGACTCAAATAGAAACTCTTAAACCAGAGATTCGACTCCAGTTCTGCGCTTTCACTCACCCGTCGTCGATGCAAATGGACTCTTCTTTGATGTTGCAGTAGCTCTTCTCCAGTATGACCTGAGAGCGACAGGGGACGTCGATCCACTGGTGGGTGACCACGCTCCACAGCTGCCAGTGGAACGGGTAGGGAGTGTGGTGCATCGTACACTTATTCCCTGCGTCACACAGACTCAGGAGGAACTTGTCGCAGACCTGGATGTTAGAGGAGGTCTTGGTGTGGAACGGAGAGGGGACTGGCCCTTCGGACGGGGCCTGCAGCTTGGTGGGGGTGGCCGTCGGGGTCTGGATGGCGGGTAGGACCTGTCTCTTGGTCGGGGTGCCGGGCTGATGTGCAGGCTGCGGTTGGGTGATGATGAGAGGCAGGGAGAAGATGAGGGAGGTGGCCAGTGTGGGGTTTGCAGGTATTTTCTGTGCTTGACCCGGAGGGATCGGCAGCAATTGCGTGCCGTTTTGGGAAAGGGTGAGCAGGACGCAGGAGGTCTGGGAGGCTCCATGCTGCGGAGTGATGGACTGGATGACCATCTGAGGCTGCAGGGTCCTGGAAGAAGGCGCCGAGCTCTGCGCCACGCTGGAGGCGCCTTCGGTTTGGGCGGGGGTTGCACTCTTCCCTTGCTTCGAGGTCGCGGGAGTTAAATGCACACCGATGCTGTAGGGGTTGACGGTCCAGGCGATGTCCACCTGCTTGGACCTCATGGCCTCCCACACTGGGAGGCTGGAGTTGGCGTCAGCGGGGATTTCCAGTAGGAAAAGAGACGGGCTCAGGAAGGTGACTTTGGAAGATTTAGATGGGGGCTTCAAAACTGCAACGTCGTCCGCCATCTTTCTCTTTGAGCGTCTGCTGGATGAAGCTTTAGGCATCTTGGACATCCAGTAAAAAAACAAAAAACACATTGGACTATTCATTTTGAGTAAATTAGCACAAAGGACATGGGGACATAAAGTGAGTTTAGCTCAGTATGAAGTTAAAATTATATAAAATAGAATCAAACTACAAAGAGAAATGTGTTTTTTGTTGGCGGCTATATTGAGGTCATTATTCATGTACATTTATCTTTTCTAAACCTTTCACCTTCAACACGTTTTAACGTTCTTGTGAATTGAATACACACTCTTATCTACCTGCACCGTTAGCATTGCGGCTATAACGAGCTAATGAAAGCGTATCAAACAAGATGGTTTTTGGCTAACCTTACCGTGAACACCCGCCGAGGTCCTTTGACGTGGAAATGTGTTCGTAAAATTAAAATGCAGCTTCAAAACGAATTCACTGCAGTCCGAAAGTTAAAGAATGTAATGTTTCACGACTTGTCCGGAGAAGTAATTTACAGACTGTTCTGCTCTCAGTGAAGAAGGTGTCGACGTGCCGAACGAGAACGACACAATGTAACGTTTGTGGGAGTAAAAGAACTAAACAGCGTGATGTTACCACTTTAACGTATGTTCAGTAATAGAGTAGTAATTGCACGTGCAAGCATACAAACCAATATAACAGGTTTTGCTTTATATACGGCAGTAAAAAATAATCTCCCATAATTTACGAATTATTTACTTTTTCAACAGTGGAATCACATTGTGAAATGCCGGTTTCACTATAACGATATTATTGTAATATCCCTGTTGCCATGTTTGTTAATGCGGTAGCTGACAAGAAGTCATCTTTTTTTTTTTTTTAAAACCTGTTTCACATTATTCTCATAACCCATAAGGTCAGAACATTATTGACACTTTAAAAAAAAAACATTCATCGTTTTATTACAGGCCAGACTGGACTTGCAGGTTGCACAAAATAAAGGGGAAGTAATGAGATTAGCAAATAATTTATTTGTAGATTGGTATTCTCACATTAGTATTTGCACATAAAGCACATTTAGTCTTTGCAATATATCTGAAGCTGTAAACAAAATTGGGCTTCACAACCAACATTCAGTGTTTGACATGCAAATTCAAAATCATGTTACAAACAAACTAAAGCCACAAGTTGGGGTACTTTTTAAAAACACACATTATGCTTTGCATGAAACAATTTTGAAGAAAGTGCAGGACTTTTTATAGAAGATTAAAGTGCTGGGATCCAATTGTGTATTCATTATGTTTGAAGCTGGTCGTATTAGACATTTCATTGGACCAGGAAAGAAAGTGCTGAAATTATGCAATTTTAGATTCTGAATGTTCCCCTCATAACGTCTGAAAATAGAAAAAAAAGTTCCTACTGCTTTTGTGCTGAGCAGAAGTAAAAATTGTGAAGCGGAAGAGCACTTTCAGAAATATTCTACAGCCTTCACAGTAACTTCCAGTGGCTCCAGCGTCAAAGGACACTGCTGACAACCCACCCAGAAGTACGGGAAGACTCTCTCGGTGACGGCGTGCTTGAAGGTGTAGATGTGCGTGTTGTCATCCGGGTCGTAGAAACACACCCGACCCTTGTCACAGTCCAGCTGCACTCTGATCCTCTGCGGGTTCCTCTTCAGGTTGAGTCTCGTTAGAGGAGAGGTGCCTGCAAAGTACATCTTGTGGTAAAAGTACACGCTCAGGTAGCCGTTCTTCAGCACCGAAGACACTTTCTCTTTCCTCTGGATGGATTCTTTGGCCACGCCGACGACCCACGCCGTGTTCTCTCCCACGGTGACGACCCAGGCGTGCTTGCCTGAGGTGAAGCTCTCGCGGCCCAGCACACCGGTGTCGGGGTCGAACCTCTCCGGGTTGTCGGGCAGTTTCTGCTTCTCGTCACTGTCACAGACGCTGGCGAGGTCTTCTGACAGGATGAGCCACGGGGCGGCGGTGTTTGGGTCCAGAGTCACCGGGGCTGAAAACAAAAACAAAACATGGCAGCTGTCTCTGGTAACACATTCTGACTGTAGTCCACTCAGCATCACAATCTTTTACGCACCTCAGGAATACATGACAGTCTGAAGGTCTACAGAATAAACCGAGAGCTGTGAAGCAGGATAGAGGATGTACTCACTGAATTTGAAGGTTTCATGCATCTTCTCCCACACGTGGAAGTTCAGAGACCCCAGACATGTGGCCACATCGATGAGTGCTCCGGGAGGCATGACCGGATCTTCTATTGGGCTGTTAACTCTGCAGGGAGCAGAATCAGGCAGTTTATGCATCTTGTTGTGAAAGCAGAGAAAAGACAGAAAACTTTAAAAAGTAAGGTTTTTTTTTCACCTTGCCAATGTCGTCTTGCATTTCTGAAAAAAAGAGGCAAAGTCACAACATTTTTAAGAAAATAAATGGTATATTTATGAGAGTATCTTTGCGCTTATTCATATTTTAAATGTTTACAAACTCACATGAAGGACAGAGACGCCCTCCAGAGCCATCTCCTCCTCTAAAACTCTGATGGATTCGGACACGGACGTTATATTCCCGACGATTTCCTCGATCTTCTGCATCAGCGCTCGACTCTTCTGCTCCTCCTCCGTCTTCAGCGCCTCCATCCTGGCCTCCTCCTCGGCGTCAAGGAAGCTGTGAAGCTTTTCGAACTCCTCCCGGGTCCGTCTCGCCACGAAGCGAGCCTGGACCTGAGGTAAAAACATGCGTGAGCATGGCTTGGAAAGGCTCAGCGCTGCTTAATGAGTGCACGATCTTTAGCAGAAATGTCACCTGAATGTATGCAACGGCATCCTCGTAGTTTTTCTTCATCTTGTCAAAAGCGTCCCTCTTCTCCTGCATTGAGCCGAGGGCAGACTTCATCTTCTCCTGAGAAGGTAAATAAGAGAAACTTGAATGCTTGTTTGATTATTAAACAAGGTTTTATACACAATGGCTGCTGTATTTACCTTCACATCCACGACAGCCTCGCTGACGGGGCAACAGTCGTGCTGTTTGTGCTTCCTGGAGGTGTGGCAAACCACACAGATAGGCTCCTTGTCCGGGAGGCAGTAGAGCTTGAGCCTCTCGCCGTGCAGAGGGCACATCTCCCCCGGATCACAGTACAGCTCTCCCCCGGTGTCCTCCGGACCCTCGCCCTCCTGGATGTAGGCCTCACACAGGTTCTTCAGGGTGAGACTGGGCACGGGTTCATCCACACTCTGGCTCCTGCACAGGGGGCAGTCGCGTCTCCGTGGCCCTTGGGTCCAGTACTGCTGCAGACAGGGTGCACAGAAGCTGTGGCTGCACTTGAGGACCACCGGGTCCCTGAAGATCTCGCAGCATATTGAACAGGAGAGGTCCACCTCCGGGAGGGAGAGCCTGCCTGCCATACTGACGCTCTTGTTTTGCTCTGAAAATGAAAGCAGGGCAAAGGTAGGCACAGATCAAAACACAAAGCCCTTCTTCATACCCACAATCCCCTGTAGTCTATTTACTTCCCCCTATGACCACACATTAGTCTTTGAAAGCATTCGAGTGCAAACTGATTAACTTTTCTGATATGAAACTGACAGTCAGAGGCAAAACATACCTCAAGCACAGAGTCCTGTCACAGATATCCGAGCTTAGACGCAGACACTTCCTGCTTCCTGTTGATGAGTCATGATGAGTCACCCAAAGGGGGCGGAGTCTCAGAGGCAGAGCAGGCATTTTTAACCCTTACAAGGTATTTACAGTCCAAATCAGTGGCTCTAAAAACACTTTAACTAAAAACAATCTGAGGAGATTCTTTGGTTGAACTGCTTACAACTCTCATTATGAGGGGGGGGGTTTGAACAGTTGAAACTATAAATAAGAAATCTTAAAATTGTATATACTGCTATGCAGTTAAAGCCAATATGCAAACATGTGCATTATGAAATATTGAATAATCGTGTAGCACTTTGGTCTCCCAAACAGCAGCCTCTTCTCATTAGTCTCTGGTGGTGTTATGGAGTCCTGTAAACTGCTTTTAGCATATGTTGCCATCTAGTGGCAAAAAGCAGGGAAGAGTTTATCATCAGTGTGCAACCAATGCCAACTGCTGAGCAGATTATGCAGTCGAATGGGCAGTGTAATCAGTTAGCAAATTTCTGTTTTTGCCTGTTATGAAGGTTCACTTTACAGTTAGTGATCAACACACTCATTTGGTATTTCCATCTTTCATTTAACAACAAATACGACAGTTTGTTCCTTTCCGATTTATGCACGGATCATTTGATTTTATGAGAAAACTTTTCTGTGGATTTATCATTCATAATGTATGGTGAAGGGGTAAAGTTGTTAGTCACACTCAGGCATTTCTTACATTTCTTTCAGGATTCTCATCCTCATTCATCACACAGTATGCTCCAACTGTCCAAAAAAGACTTTCCTGTATGTCTTGCTGTTTTTATGCTCCAAAGAACAAAAGCAGATAAGAGTCTGCTCACTGTGGGTTCTTGCTCCTTGATAAATGTATTGTACAACTTTAGGGCATCAGTGTGCAGACTCTATTCATCTTCATTTTTCATTCTGTCCACTTGGAGAGTTGGACCCATCTACAGCCTCCACATGGCTTTTGGGATTGTAACTTGATTAACTGCGTGTAGCAGGAACTTTTCTTGATTGTTTGGAAGCTCCTTGTCAGGAGCCCGGGGCCTGATAATGTGCTGTGTTTGACCCTATTGTCCCTGTCTGGTGTCTGATTTGCGCCATGGACTCCTCACCTGGTCAGCACTAACCATTGGAGTAATAGGGAACATTTTGGAAAGAAACAAAAAAACACGACATCACATTAACGGATCCCCCGGCCAACCTTGCATTGAAACGCAAGTCTATCAAGAGCCGTTTTTGGAAATGTGGGTAAAGAGAAGACACGGTGGCAACATTTAACTCTTTTTCCAGAAAACAATTAAGTTTACTTTCTGCAGCAAATGTATCTTCATCTCTAAACGTATTGCTTGGATGTGGTATGTGGAAAGATCATAAGATGCTATATATGGTATTGGGAGAATTTTGATCGCCTCTCAACAGTTCGCAACATGGCAAAAGGCTGAGCCGGTGACTTGCAGCTAACGGTGCTAACAGCGCAAACATGCTCACAGAGCTATACAGTGTTTGCCTTGATCAGCTGCCACCACCATCTGAGATCAGTGCTGGGCCAGTGGGACACTCTAACATGCACGGAAATGCACTAAAAGCACGCACGGCCGGACCGGCTACGTTAACAAAGAATGGAGAAGCTTGGATAACAACACACAGAGGGAGACATTACTCCACTGTATATTTAGCTAATAGCTGTTTGCTGCTATATTAATGCTCTGAATACCATATAGGGTGAGAAAATGTGCCAGTTTAATCAACTGACGACCCTCCACTGTCCTCCAAATGCCCGAGGGACAGCCTCAAACACAAATCAGTTTTTACATTTAATCTTTATTTTACTGTCTGTGTTATTCATGTAATCATTCAACACTTGATTAGTCACTTCTTTGACACATTTTGGTATGCCACAGGGACTCAAGAGTCTCCAGTTTTTCATTTAAAAAAAAGGAGCTGCAGAAGATTATTTTAATCATAGATTGATGGTAGTCTGTGCTCGGCCATCCTGTCACCTTCAAGAACAACGTCAGCTTTCCAAAACTAACTTTTAATTGAGCTGCGTTTTCCTCAGCTGATAGCGCTACACTAGGCTTCTATGGTTTAGACATGAGTACAGCAACATGCACAGATGGCCCGTTTGTCATTTGTAAAGGAGGGTTTGGAGTTTCCAGCAGATGCTCTGGTTGTTAATTTCTTCACTTCCCTCCTGGAATGACTCAGAGTCTTTTAAAAAGGCCTGCTGAGCGTCGCTCCAGTTTGGGTCAATGAAGCATTTACTCTGTTGATGCTCTGTGTAAATACGACATCGTGAAAATGCTGCAATGTCTTTGCTGGCCTGCCACTGTTCATACAGTATGACACTAATGCATTTTATGCCCGAGGGTGGAATTTATGTGACATTGTGCATCATAAAATGAACTTGTTATATATGCTTGTTATTGTGCTTACACTGCTTCACAAGTCGTCATGAGCCATATGTCATGTACATATTTGTTTCTCGCTAACATTACATAATCTGCCTCAGAAGAACATCAACTCCTTTACACAGCAGTACAGAATATTTGTCACTTCTGAAGTCTGGAAGTTGGCATCTCACTTTATTGGGGAAAAAAACAAAATCATATTTCTACTCACATGACACCTTGGACAATAAAGACTGACACCATCCTTGTACTGAGATGAAATTCAGCACCTTTCCCTGATGTTGTAATTATCATTCACCACTAGATGTCAGAGTGCACCCACGTATGGTGAAGTCAGCTATAAAGCACCATAAAAAAAGGTACTTTATGCCGCAGCATTTATGCAGAAGTCTCCTGATTGCTTCACATCTAAAATGACTCGAGGTAAACAGACAAATATCAGGAGACAACATGTAATCTGTGTTATCCTCCCATGTTAGGTGCTTTGGAAAAACCTGTGCCAACTCTGAACGAAGCGGTTTAATGCTCAAATGTACCTGGACGTTGCCTGTCCAACCTCTCCTTCCCTGTAAATTGGCTGTCAGCCGGTGTGACCCAAGCTAATAGTGATTCATTATTGCTCACACCCTGCTAGTGTTCACAGAGCTTCACAGGGGCTGAAGAGGGGGGGGGAAAGGGGAAGGGGGGGGGAGGTCTGTGTCAATCTCACAGCATCTAATGAGGACAGGCAGGCTAACACACAGCAGAGACAACTCCAGGTTGGACCCGTCTCTCGGCCCGATACTTTGTAGAGAGCATCGCTCTGACGGATACTGTCAGCGGACGGAGCTCCATCCTTCTCAGGTTGAGGAAAGTATTGATGATTGCAGCCGAGGAGGTGCATTAAAAAATAATTACTGAAACATAATTCGATATTTACTTCATCCTCGTACAAGCCTATATTTGCATAGTCTGCTATGCAGTAAAGCTGGACAGTAAAAAGTAAACTAAAGCCAGTGAATTATGGGAGACTAAGAGGAAGGAGCGAGAGAAAGGTAAAGAAAGACAAAGAGGTATTTTATTGTAGCTATAGATTGAGGATGTTGGCAGGCCTCCTTAGAGTCCCTATCACTTGCTTTCACAACACCTGTTCAGTTTCCCCTTGGTTACATATCCCTTTATCAAGGTCCCACTTTCTAACTAGTCTTTGCAATAGTGACTAGTGCCTGTTTTAGTGGTCAATGCTTTGTTGATGAATTAAGCAAATAAATGAATGCTACTTAAAATGACACAACTTAATAAAACTTGCATTAACTTCACTTTTCAGCCACTTTGTGGCAGCAGAAGAAAGCTGTAAAGACCCCCCCACACTCTATTATCACCTTCTTAATTACTTGCAACTTAATTACCCCTTTTATGCAGTATACCTCAGAAGGTGGTGGCGGCATTTTTTAATCCTCTGAAGGATTTGTTTGTTTTGAAAGCTAAGCTTATTTCTTCCTCTCTTTATTCGCATGAATTTGACTGAGCAGTCTGTGTTTTGTTATTTGTACAGACATTAGCTTTATATGCAACCACATCAAATCCAGTCTGACCACACATCAACGCTCGCAATGTATCAAGTCGAACTTCGTGGCTCAGTTGTTTCCAATTTGGAAAGCTCCTCCTACTTGACTGCAACCATACTTGTACATTCCTCTGAATACTGAAATGACTGCAGTAGGCAGCAGCTGAGTCAGAGCGTCGTGTGGAGAGGACATTATAAGATTAATCTCAATTGCTACCCGGGAGACGAGACAAAGAGAGAGGGACAAGGGCACCAGAACTGATTTATACTTTGCCGTATAAACATTTGATCTTTTTCAGATTAAAATACTTGTGACGCATTGACAAATCATTTTCATGCTCTTCACATTGTGACTCATGAGCAGAGAGCTCCATCGTCGTCAAAGGGAAAATACATCCATTTCATCAGAGGACGCTTTCATTCCGTCTCTTCTTTCACACATGAATTGAGTGCTCAATATAAATTGGATTAAATGCACAATTTCACTGGGGCTTGCGAGGCACTCTCACCAAAGACCAGGAACCCTTATTGTTAGTCATATATTGATTTTTGCCCTTGGTAACAGCTGAGAAACTTCTGACAGCCATCTCACACGGACACCGCAGGAGATGTAGTAAGAAGCAGTTTAGTTCTTTTCCCTGCTGGCTATTTTTAGTGTGTATTTGGAGGTGTGTGGACTGAAACGACACACTTGCATGTTGCTCACACACACACACCCACACACACACAAATGTGCCTGCACATGAGCACCCCGGCAAATGCGCACTGAATTCGAGGTGAACTCCATCTTATTGGAAAGGCTGCTGGAAAAGCCTGGGGCTCAGAAAACCTCTTTCAGTCTCTGGAAGGTTGCCAGGCCCTCCAGATTCACAGGAAAACCACAGTTATCAGTATTACCCCACCCTTCCTCTCCTCCACTCTCACTCACACACACCTGCACACTGCGACCCAACAGAGTTTAAAAAGGAGTGACATCAATTCAATAAGCCCGGGCTGACAGGGACGCCACAGCACAGCTGCTCTCTCCATCTCTTTGCTAACCCATTTCCCCTCCTGGCTTCCTCCCTTTCCCTTTAAA